AAAGAAAAAAATCATTCTTTGTTTTCACTCTTTTTGCATTTTTTTTGTCTGAATTTCTCATCACAATTCCACTAAGTATTTCCTGTCAGCTCCTATCTTCATTAACCTCCTTCAGGCTGTATTTGATGTCACTATTAAAAGAGAAAACGTGATTTCCTACAGTGTGGTGCACAAACACAAACACTCCAGGATTCTGACATTAACCGCACATTAACAACATGTGTGTTTAAACAGACGTGCAGACGTCCAATCACGAGCCCTGGACAAACATCCTCAATCCAAATATCTGATGACTCAGCAGGTAGCTGTTTCTAGGAAAAAAGGATGAAAAAAAGGGTGTAGGTTAAATCGTAAATGCTCTTCCGTGTTCCGCAGTCAGTGCGAGGTCATGCTCTCCATGTTTTTAATTACTACACCGGTACAAATCAGACCGTGTTCTCTGTTATCTGGCTGTTCCCACATGTGTCTTACTGTAATCTCTGTCCAAATGCAACAGGAGACAGAAAGACCTTGAAGACCTTCTGCTGAAACCTTTCAAAAAAAGTTGGAGGAAATAATTCCAACTAAAAACCACGAGGAGTTGTAGTTTCACCTGTTATTATCTAGATATATGCTGTATTTTATAAACGACCTCAAGTCTGACGTGCCGTCACGGCAGGTTCAGGAATCCATGAAAGGAGAGAGATTTGCAGGGCAGAGAGAATAAAGGGGGTTTCACTGGGAGTTCAGTCTTTTATGGGCCTTAACCACATAGTGAGGTCATAAACGTGCCGCACGGCCTCACAGACCAGCAATTATTTATTTCCCTATTCACAGCTAACATGGAGTTGTTCCGTCCTCTTGAGCTGGCAGTTAAAGGAGGAAAGTCATTGATGTAAGAATTGTACGAGAGACAGAGACAGACAGAGAGAGAGAGTTATGAGAGAAGCATCATAAGGTCAAGTGTTACAATTATTTGCAGACTATCAGCAAGGACAAAAATGCAGCAGCAGGTAGAGAAAAGTCAAAACGAACATTATTTTTTGTTTACTTCCAGATGCCCTGACCTCCAGTAAGAAGATAAAACTACCAGTTTGTCAAGGATCAGTGTGTGAGAGCTAGGTGTGTGTGTGAGGTTGGGCGGTCTCTTCAGAGCTGTGTCAGCTCTTCTACTACATCACCAAAAACAGGGACCAGATCTGCTGTGAATGTCTCAGTGTCACATACAGAAGACTCAGAGGACAACGTTAGTAATGAGAACCTGCATGTGTGTGTGTGTGTGTGTATGTTCATTAAGGCTACAGGTCTCATGAAACCCTGTAAGAATAAAAGTATGTAACACCCTCATGACCCCCTTACACACACACACACACACACACACACACACACACACACATACAGTAATGAACTGGTTGAAGGCTGTACATCTGTTTCTCTCGGTGAGCGAAGTCATACAGAGCTTCCACATCATCTTGATGCTACACACACACACACAGAGAGAGAGAGACACGCCTATACATTAGTAACAGATGCATACACAACAGGGTTTCTCCAACGTGAAGCATGCATTTGAAAATGAAATGAAAACAAACGAGGAAAAACAAATTAGGTAGGTTTTTGCTGGAAATGGGACACAGAGCTGAGTTTGGGTCAAACACACACTCCAGCTGGAAGACAACCAACCTCACAGGGTTGACAGACCGCACTTCATGCAATATGTGGATGACAGGTAAAAACTGCAGCGTGACTCTCTGGGGTTAATGATAACGGTAGAGCAAAAAATCAATGAACGTCTGAGAGTTCAGTGGCACAGGTTTACAGAGAGGCAGAAACAAGTGATCAGACCAGGCAGACGTCACTTCAGTTTTTACAACTTTTGTTCTAAAGATTTTGAGGAGTGCTGACACCTTATAAATGTAAATTTTATGCTGTATTTTTGCAAAGGCATCACAAATGTTCCTTGAGACCCCAGGCTGACAGGGGCCCCTGAAAACATCTGAACATGTTAAGCATGGCTCATACTTCATTTGTACCACCACAGGGAGCATCAGCACACATACCAGTTGTCCCACTACTGTTGGACTAGTACTTATTAGATTTAGAGTAGATTTAATCCTAGTATAATCTCCTACATTTACACTCATTTATATTCTATCTGTGTTCAAGTATCTTAGTTCTCTGCTGCCTCCGACGGCTCGTGGCGTCCCACAGGGTCGCTGGTTCATTACATTGACAAATTGGCCATGTACAAGAGAAAGAAAAACTGTCGAGCTCTGCTGGACTTCTCACACATTACATTACTGTCTTTGGTTGCCAACAATGTGGCCGAGGTATGTGGAGATGGAAGCATTCTCTAGCTCCTCATCTTCAAACGTACGCAACCCTAAACCTTTCGAGCCACGGCAAAAATATCCCAAGTTCTACATATAATGGAATGCACTGATTTTATGCTTTCAACGTACTCCTGATTTACACACACAGAGATCTTCAACAGCTCTGAGCCTTTACAGCCATCTGCTGCCAGTGAGTATTTACATTTTCTGCCTGTCACTGTCATGTTGATGAATGAAGACAAAGTATTTTAAGGAAATAAAATTAGTTTTTCCATCAAGTAAACCATATATTATGGGATTATATATATATGAAACAACAGACTGAGATGAATCAAGAAATAAATTAAATATTATTGCTTAAGTTAATGTCTTCATTGACATGTGCAGCCCCTCCCCTCTCCTCCCTTCCACTCCCATCCACTCCTCTCCCCTCTCCTACCACCCAGACATCTGGAGCAGCTGAAATGTTAACGTTATGAAATCACTCCCTTTCGCTGCATTGGGACATCAGAGAAATTCTAGTTTGACCAGACGGCTGCTGGCTGCTACACAGGCAGCCATCCAAGGAACCCTTTAAAAATCGATGACAGTTGATAGGATGAACACAGGGATCAGGCCTCTGGTCATCTGCTGCAGCTGATCCTCGTTGAAAGGAAAACAATAGGTACTACATCTGCACATTTTTTTCAAATGTGCTGTAACGTTTATGCATAAGTGAACAGGAAACCTTCATCCTACCCACTGCTGGGAGAGTCCAGTTTGAGATGTTGATGTTAGTTAATGGGCCACCAGATGATTCCCAACCACTGTCTCGAGAGATCATGTGGTGTACTGTGGAAAATTAATAAATGGATTGATCATAGAAACTGGGCTCAGATCAAGTAAAACGGCTGACATAATGTCTATTTATCAAAACTTTATCGTAGCATTATTTTGTATTCTTATCTTTCAAGGTAGTTTGCTGGGTTGTCCAAGGTCTAGACCTGTAGGTCCCACTGAAGAAACAGAGAACAAGGTTGGGCAGAGGTCAACTGATACAATATCTGGTCCAATGTCTGGTTGACAGATTTGGCCAAGCAGGGGTCCACCAGGGTCCTTGACTATATGATGGTGGGAACTAAACAAACACAATACTTGTCTGCAATGTTCAGCCAGGACACAAACATTCTCTTCACATCCAATTCTTAAAACTGGCAAACTGCATGAAAACCATGTTTGCACTGGCAAAACCTCCGTCTGGTGTCCCTTACTGCAATTGTTCTCACTCCCCCGCAGTTTGAGCTGCTGTTTGGAGTCTTACGTCTGCTGAAACATTAAAAAGAATGTTGTCTCAGCTTTGTTTTCTCCCAAGACTCCTGCAGGAAGGCCCTTCACTGGTCTTGATCTGGAGCCCTGTGGGCAGGAGATCAGAATCAGGCAATGCACTGCCACATATGGAAGGGGGAGGAACTGACAACCTGCTGAGAGATATGATGTGACTCCCTCTGTCAGTCAGCACCTGGGTGTGGCGCCGTCCCCTGCTGTACATATCAGGTTAAACACATGTTTAACCTACAGTGACTCAAATGCAGTACATTTCTATTGCATTGGGAACAAAAGAACATGTCATGTCTTTGCTAAAACATCTGTGCTCTTTGAGCCACCCAGCCGGTCTGCTTGCATTTCTGTAGGTAAACAGATAGATTTATGTAGGGTGAAAAGAGGGTGGAAACAGAGCACACACGTGCACATGAAAGAGAGAGAAAACACATTAATTCCTACGGGAAACTGCCTTCAATGTTGGGGTAAATAGTGACCCCGCAGCAGGTAAGAGACAGGGAGAATTAGTGTGGGTCAATGACCTCTCATGGTGTGCACACATACCCAACTAATGTTGATTTTAACATTTCTTTCTTTACATCTGCTTTTTTATTATTATTATTATAGGTCTAAGGAAATAACTATAGTAGAAATCCAGGATGTTAATACACTTTATACAAATGTATAGTTTTAATCAGTGAATTGTTTAGGTTAGTTAATATTTGCTTGTATTCAAATATACAGCTCACGTGTGTTACAGTACAGTAATCCAGTAATGCTCGAGACCAAATAAATCAAGTTTAAACATATTGGCTTCGCTCTTTGTACATTATCTAACAAACAATTATTTGGTTCCCTCTAGTGGACAAAACTCTAAGGCACACCGGCAATTTGTTGTTTATTTTTCTGCAGTTATCACGTTTGATAAGACTTCTCTGCCTCTGCATTGTGAGATTGTGTTTGTTTGTAAAACCCTCAGAGTGGCTAGTTGGTGTAGGCCAAACCAAGAAGGCCAGACCCTGATTTTTTGAGAAACGAATTTTGATACACAAACGATGTCATTAATCCAACATACACAGTCTGGCTTCAAGTTTCTCATTGTCCAAGCTAGCTTTAAGTCAAGAATCAGGCTCTAAAATTGTGTGAGAAAAGCACATCAAGGCTACAATTATCAATTTAAACTTTTTTATTCACAGAGCTGCATCAACATACACACCTCAAGGACAAGGAACCAGCAGTGACACACATACACACACACACACACGTTCGACAATTATAAAAAAAGGTAATGAGCTGAGGTGAAGTGAAGGACATCAAGTTTTAAAAGTTTCTCTTCGGCAGGAAATTATTAGAAGGGGGAAAATAAAGTTAATTTAAGGATACTAGTGTTTTCCCACACTTCAGACAACCAATTTCACCCCCCAAAAAATCAGGTGGTCTAGGTCATCAATTTACAACACTGTGCTGACTGAATGTAGAATTCAGAGGAGGTTACATTTCAACAAAAATGCATTAAGAAAAAGAAACCGTCAGAAAGAAATAAAACATTTACAAAAACATCATAGTCAAAACTACAACATCAGTACCGTCGCCCGAATGCACCACCCTGCATCCCGCCGCCCTGTATCATCTGATTCTGTCTGTTCAGAGCTCCGGAGAGAGACTGAGACGTTCCTGTGTTCATGTAGCCTCCACGCCTAGAGACGAAATTTAACAAGAAAAGAGGATAAATGTCGAGGTCCTGACGAAAGAAACCATCCCTGACTTATCAGGGTGTTTTCTTGAAAGTAGTTTTCAGGGCTTTAAGGACTTTTTTACAGTTCTATCATGCCCATAGTACATTGGCCAGAATGCCTTTATAAAATAATATATTAATTAGTTAGATTTGAAAATGGGACAGACAGAAGCCTATGGTTGTCGGTTACCAGCACAAACTATTACCTATCTGTTTGGACTAATTAAATTATAATTAAACCAATGTGGCAACAAAGTCAAATGATTTCTTAAATTCCCATCTCTATTTTTTCAAGTTGGTCACACATTTGCCACGACAGATGGAAACCCTGGTTACTGCCATTATTACTACATACCCTGATATTCCTCCACGTGCCATGTGTCCCTGGCCTGGTATAGCACCATCTCTACCTGCAATTACCAAGAAAATCTTCATTAGTGACACAGAGCAAGACCAAAGACATGATGACCAACAAGCAGCATATCAGGAGCAGCTTTGTGTGCTTTTAGCCACAATACTCCTTAGAACAAGAAAACTACTTTGAGTTACTAAAAAGTAGTACATAATCTTACCCGTCCAAGGTCTGTCTCCGTCCATCTTTCGTCCAGAATCCCAGTCTCGACCTCCCTCTCTGTAGGTCAAGAAAGCAACACGTGTTTTTAACTTGTGTTGTTTTTAAGTAGACATCATCTGTGACAACTTTTGATCTTACCTTGGGTTCATGCGTTTGTCATAGCTTCCACCCCAGGGCTCACGGCCATCTCTGCCATGTCTGTCAGAAAAGTGCTGGAAGACAAACAGAGAATCACTGAAGACCCGCTCATGTGCAGTCGCTGCACAACTGTAAGCACAAGGGTAAAGGAGAAAGATCTGCATCCTTTACCTGTCCATCTCTGTCTGGACCAATGCCACGAGTGCTATCTCGCCGGTCCAGCATGTCATCCTGGTAACGGCCCCGCTCCCTGTGGTCGAAATCCTGGTAACGATCCTGACGGCCAAAGTCGGAACGACCATAACGGTCGTCCATTGCCATGCGCTTATCAGGCCAATCATCTTTCCTTAAACAGCAGAAAAAAGTCAATGGACACAGCAAAGGTCGTCACCAGTCTGACCTTCTGATCAAACAGAAGAACAGAGGTTCACACTCTTACTGATGGAGACAGTTCAATAAAGAAGCAAACAATCTCATATCTAGGGAGAATTATCCCAGTTAGCTAATGCACCACTGAAAGTAACTTCCGTAAAGCCAAAGTAGAATAAAAACCTTCTAACTTGTGAATACAAATAACATTTGTAAAATTAAAGCAATTATGATCAGCTTGGTCCCTGAACAAGTTGATAATGTTTCCGTCATGTCAGTGATTTACCTCCCATCCATGTCATAAGGCCTTTTAACTGGGCGACGATCCTGTTCGTAGCGCAGCTGCTCTTGCTGTCGTCTGAGCTCATCTCTCTCTCTGAGGATCCTTTCCTGCTCACGCCGCCTCTCATATTCAATTCGTAGCCTTTCACGCTCTAAGAACTGCCGCTCCATACGGTCAGCTTCAAGACGCTGCTTCTCAGCCTGGCAATGAAAAAAAATTTAAATAAATGATCAAATAACCAACTTGATTCAAGTATGACACAAACTGACGGGAATGTCACAGGCTAACAGAGCATCACTTATATTTATATTTGCAGGTTTTACAATTCACCTCCAGCCAGTGTCTCTTCCGCATCAAGTGTTTTCTCTCCTCTCTTTCCTGAACAGACGGATTCGTTCACGCTCACGATCTGGACGGTTGTCACGGTCACTGAAATACAAGAGTGAAACAGTAAATTAGACAAATTAGAAGCCTAATTGCTAATTGATCTGATACAAGAAAAATATATATCTTTAAGTTTAAGAGGTGAAGACACAGGTTTAGGTGACAAAGAAATACAGATGTGTAACAACTATCCTGGTAGTAGGACAGATAACAGTACAACACAGTAATCCGTACTTGTTCCGGCGTCTCTCCACCTCTCTGATTTCTCTCTCTCGTTGTCTCTGTCTCTCCCTCTCTCTCTGCTCCTTAATCTGGTCAAATGAAAGAATATCTTTTTTTTCTTTGCTAGATGATTTGCGTTCACGACTCTTTGTGCTCTGAAGAACAGGCAAAAAAAAGTTCAAGATCAATCACACAAATGCAGATGTGCTGGGGCCGCAGACACAGACGATGTGAGATGATGATTTGAAGTTGGTGAATGTTCCCTTACTCTCTCCTTGCTGTTGACACTGATGACAGGCTCCCCCTTGGACTTGTCCATAACAACAGTCCTTTCATTTCGCCCTTTAAGAAAAGCCATCAATTACAAAATGAGAAAGAAAATAAAACCCAAGATAAAGTTTTAGAATTTGACACATTAAAACCTCTCACCTTTGCCATCTTTTCCTTCTCCCTCAGATTTATCCTCTTTTCCATCAGACCTACAAGATGTAAAAAGAGTGTGAGACAAAGAAATTCTTCCTTGACAACATTTCCTTTTCAGAGGGTGATATATAGTTCCACACCAAAGTGCTTAGAGCTCAGGGCTCTTGGTATCCTTAAACTGCACTAATTCCCACTGGGAAGGACATTAGATTAAGGATACATATATATAGAATCATACCAAAACTATTTCTTACTTGGAGTCAGTGGAGTGTCTCCTGTCACTGCCAGTCTTCTTGGATTCATTCTTGTCTGCGGGCTTTTTCCCAGCTGGCTCGTTCTTAGCCTACATAATAAAAAAGCTTAAGTTTATTTGAAGCTAATGAAATTGGAAAAGCGTTGTCCTTTCCTTTTAGGATATCCTTAATAAATAAATGAATAAATACATTTTTTGTCAAATTCATGCTGTATTTTTGTTTGTTAGTTCAAAGGCAGACACTCACCCTCTCCACAGAGATCATTCTGCCATGGAGCTCAGTTCTGTGCAAGTGGCCGATACATTTGGTGGCCTCCTCTGTGGAGGACATGGTGACGAATCCATAGCAGCGAGCTCCAGGGCTCTTTGCATTGGTCACCACCTTAGCTCCAACGACCTACAAGAATAATATAAACAAGTCTGAAGATGTGAATTGTGAAAAGCAAACGGTTTAAAAAACACACTGATAATTTGAGTTGAATAACATGGTCAATAAAACTGACCTTGCCATATTTGCTAAACAGAGTCTTCAGATCAGTCGCTCTGGTAGTGGACGAGAGACCACTGACCCAAAGATTTCTGCTACTTGCTGCGGCACCACTTTCAGCGGCTGCACATACATACATACACACACACACACAAAGACAACATAATGGTGTTATTTTTCATTACAGTGAAAAAGAAAATGTTAGAGGCCTCCCCATTCACTCACCCTTTTCATCTTTGACCTCTGTCTTTGCATCGTTTTCCTCAGAGCTAAAGACAAAGGAAATTACTGTCAACATACAGCAGTCAGAACAAAACAAAAAACGCGTATGTATTTGGGTTTTTGATTTTATATAAACGTTGACTGGGGTCAGCGTACCTTGTCTCAGTGACATGTTTAATAAGTGAACCGATGGAAGTATAACTTCAGAAAAGCTCAATGCTTTAACTGTGCAGGGGGAATGTAGTAAATTCAGGAGCATGGAAAGAATGACGAATGAAAACTGTCGAAAGCACGTGACATTTTACCTCCATTAAGAGCATCCAATTTTGCTAGCACAAAGGAGCCAATGCAACAGAGATAGCCATTTTGGTTTCTAGGAGACAGAAAGCAACAAACCTCTTTTTCTGATCATCGCCCTCTACAGAAGAGCATTCTTTCACAGTGGAGGCTGAATCCGCAGCAGCTTTCTCTTCTGTCTTCTCTTCCTCCTCACCCTTCTTAGACTCAATTTCTGAATTAACAGTTTCACTTAGAGACCCTTGTTCATTTAAACTAACAGCCTGCAAACTTGTATTTTCAGCGTCCATTGTCTCTTCTGGGATATTCTGGCCATCCCCGACCTCTTTGGCCTCAGTTTCCAGAACATCCTGGTCGCTCTCCGCATCTCCAGAGGCAGCTTTGTCGCACACAGCTTCTTCCTCTCCGGTGGTGGCAGCTTGTTCTTCATCTGGGCTCGTCGCGTGGCTCTGGTCTTCGTTAAGCGGCTCAGATAAACAAGACCCAGCTACTTTGTCATTTTCTACGGATTTAACAGGAATAGAATGGCACAAAGTTTAATAACTTCTGACACAAAGAAATAGGTAATGAGGAACTGGCAAGGCCTGGATTACGAAGGTCAGGACCACTGGCCTGTGCTCTTAGAACTTGGTAATATAACGAAGAAGACCCTAAAGAGAGACTGGAAGAGAACCCAAAGACTAGAGAACAACTAGAGCAACTAGCACTCACGCTAAAGCACGTTGCTTTGTTCACCTGAACCAAAGCAGACAATGAGTCCAGTGTGGAAGAGTCCAGAGAATGGCAGGGTAGCAATACATTCTTGCTACAGTCTTCTTTTAGGTGTCCTTTTATTTTGACAACAACTTCATCTCATGTCCAAGATATTCACATCCAGTTGAGTCCTTTAAAAGAAGCAGCGAGTACAGGTCTTGGCTTGAATCTTCAATCTTCTTTATCTTGGTCTTGGTGCGGCAACCTAGAAACACTGCAATCACTTGCAACTCCCTGACCATATAATTGCTGCCAATGTGCATCAAATTGTTATCCTCTGCCATTTTACAAATCATCATTGGTAACTTGACCAATCCTGTTGTGATTTTGGTGAGCTTTATAATCAATTTTAGCCCAGAGCCAGCAATTTCCTTTGGGCTTCCAGTCTCTCCTCCTAAACTTAAGTGTCTGCATTCCAAGCTCAACACGGCAAAGATAACTCGATCCGTAAACCATTACTACTCTACCTGTTTCTTCATTTGTTTCCTCTGCATCTGGATCCTGAAAGAGGAGAAAACTGTCATGTAAACACAAAACTTTGTAGACTAACGTGAACCATGAAATCCTACTGTTGGGAAACATACCACATGTAGCGATGAGCATGTCATATAATCCTCTTTGTCTAACATCTCAGCATATTCCATCTGTTAAAATGCAAAGGTCAGCCATCACAAACCTGAAAAAAAATATCAATGGCCTCCAAGCCACATTTTCACTGTGTTGTTTTCTCTTTTTTGGTCTTTGCAGATTTTTTACAGTTTAAATTATTTTTGAGCCACAGATGATGTGGGGTACATTTTAGATATATAAGCCACCTCAGCATACAGAATACAAGACCAACTAAATTACTAGAAAAATGATAGTTAAAAAAAAAGTAGGACTGTTGGAATATAAATCATTGGTTATTGTAAAAGTTAATAATTTACATTACATCACTACAAACATTTGTAGTAGTTTTTATTTACCCTGCCTCTTGTCAAACAGGGAGGCCAGTCTCACTATATCATCAACTAATGATTATAGTTGGCCATAAATTAAACAGTAAAATGTAACCATTTCTCACCACTGGCTCTGTGGATTCATCTCCTAAATCTTCAATGTCATCTTCATTTAGTAGAACATCACTATTTCCCTGAAAAAGGTCAGACTCGTCATCATCCTCAGCTGGTATTCCATTGTCATTCTCGGTCTCATCCAGCACATTCATGTCAAATAGGTCCATCTCGTGCATTTCCTCTTGATCATCTTGTGAATCCTCCTGATAGAAACAATGTGAAATTAGGTAAAAGCCGATACAAATGTTGCACAGTGAACCTCTAATTTCTACCTGTTAATAAATATCAATGTAATATATGGAAACAGAGAATAGGTCACGTGGAAAAAAAACATACATTGACATCATGGCAGTCCTCTGCTTCCTCTGGAGCAGTGTCTTCTGCTTCATCGTGTTCTTGTCTTGAATCTGCAGGGAGAAAATCGGTATTCCCATGATTGTATTTTCTTTTTGACTATGTAAGCCACACAGAATGGAGCACATCGGTGTTTTCTATGGTTGTATGTTGGACAACATCGTGAAAACCTTTATGCAGATTTTACCTCTTGTAGTACGCTTAGGTGTTACATTGGCTTTCTTTGGTAAAGAATCTGGAGTCAAAATAATCTCATCGGGATTTCCACCCTCCTCTTGGATTGCCTGAACAAAGAAAGAAAACGGCATGGTAAAAAAGGTGTTTATAAAGAAATCGTTACATTAAAAACACAGAGAAAAGCTTTTAGCATTGTGACGCTAACATTAGCTAACGGGCACATTCCGTTATCTTGCATACCCTTAGGATATACTTTTTTTGAAATTGTGTATTATGAAACAGAAAATACTTATTCATTTATTGTTTTATTCAATTTGTAACATCTGACCTTCTTTAGTCGCTCAGATAGCACGCTTTTGACGCCTGTGGTGTCCAAATTGCGCTTCTTCAGCTCGGCCTTCAGATCTATCACTCTCAGCTCCGACAGTCTACGAACATCTGCGCCCTCCGGAAACTCCATGTCTGCGGATGGATCAGCCATCACTTTGCCTGTGAAAATGTCGAAGAGACCCTGCAAGTGCACTGTTTTAGTGTGAAGTTATTTGCTAATATTTCAACAACTGAAGACAGCCGTGCTGCTAAATTTCTGCAAAATGGCGGACAAGCTAACGTGTGACGTATGATGCGCATGCGTTGTGTGAATGCAGCACAATTGAATCAAATTAAGTAAATTTTTCAAGTCAATTTTTTTGCCCAACTATCAAAACGCATACAAGAATTTGAGTTTGTTTTTTGTCATTATTCTATGCTTAAAAGGACTTTAAACACAATAGAGAGGATGGGGCTACAAAAAGGAAAGGATAGATAACTGAATCAATATAATATAATATACATATAATAAATATCTAATATATTTTAATAATATATATAATGAATTATTCTAATTCTGTAAAGCTGGTGTTATTATTCTTCTAATAGCAGGTCACTCACAGGCATACTGCCATTTACTGTATTGATGAGTGTAGACCAGATGCATTGTAATTATTGTTTTTATTTAAATCGATGTGAATCACCATGCATTTTAATCCATTTTTAATCGATTCATGATGTATTGTTGTATGCCATCCAGGATTAAACCTTTTGTCTACTACAGCAGTCACCACAAAAACCGATAAAAATGCAGGTAAAAGCAAATGTCCTAAAATGATACCTCTTTCTGACAATTAAATAAATATATTTTCAATTGTTATTTAAATTAATGCTGCACTTAAAATAGGGATGCCAAAAAACATCTATAATTATTTTAAGGAGAAATTACATTAAAGGGTAATACACATAATAATAAGTCAAAGTCATTTCTGTGGTTATGTTTTAATTCTAAAACAAACATATCACCATGTTGCAAAGCTGTGTAGGATACACATACAATGTGTTTTTGTACAAACCCTATTCAAAGTGGATGTTGACAACAAACAGTAAAGTAGGTCAGCTCTAGAACACTAAAGTTTGTACTATGTCACATATGCACTGATTAATCAGTAAATTACTATATGTTGAATGATTGTTACAATGCCTAGTAAGAGTGAAAATTGTCACTAAATCTGTAGGTTATGTCATCTACTTGGCTCTGGGATAAACTTTTCGTTTCAACGAGAGGTTTAGGATTATCACACCATTCCAGGCAGTCACTCTCCACTGGTGTATTGGTTTTCCTGGATAAAGTTAGAGATTCTGAGGTGGTAGATGCTCCAGCACTTTGCAAGTTGAAGGACCATCTGGGGTCTGGACCAACAGATGTGAAGGTCTTAAAGGAGGAGGAGCACTTGGGCATGTTAAGAGAGTCCAAACTGTGGCATGGAGAGCAGCCAATAGATAATCTTGGTTCATGGAGATTGAGTTTTGAGACCAGTGGTTTACCCACTGTAACAGACTGCCTTTCTAATATTTCTTCATCCATGTGGGGATATGTGTAGTGGAGACAGACGGTAAAGGTGAGCTCACTCTGTAAAGGAGAATGTGCTTTTTAGTCACGAATGATGGTTAGTCATTATTCAAGGTGATTACCATGTTTGTCCAAAAAGATTGTCTTTGCATTTCTTGCATTTATGTTTTTTGAACCTAAAAAGTTCCTTGGCCAAAGCCATTGTTTGTTTAGGCTCTTTTTAGGACAGAATGTCCCTTGTTAACATGTCAGTTGTATTGTTAGACCAGGTCAGATGCTTTAACATGCACATCTGGTCTGTCCTGTCGTTCATGTCATGGGCCAATTCATGACAATGACGTTGTGAATTTGCAACTGACTCATCATCGTCATTATTGTAATCAAAGTGTATGACCAAAGCATTATTTGATCATATGGTAAATTAGTAAATTATTTATGGTCCTGTGATTATTCCAATTATTATTATCAGGCTATCAGAAGATCATACTTTGCCTCTAAAGATATAAATAAGGAGTAGAATAGTAAATACATCCTCACGCTGAGTCTCTGCAGGCTGCAGATGCGGGTGTAAAGGCCTGGAATGTCTGGTGAGGGGAGGTCTTTCTCTGTCAGTAATAAACTGCCAGCTTCAAGCAGAGTTTCCTGGTTGCTCTTTTTCAGATCAATGTCCACACCCTGTTAAAGAAGCACAACATTGATTGTGTTCAAAGATATTAAGTTAAATAATTAAGAAATGTGGTATTGTCATTATTATAGTATCAGTTTGATTAGCTGTAGACAGAACTTTTCTTAGCCCAATACCTACAAACATAACAGCTATCAGCTCGACATTCACCATAAAAAAATAAAAAGACAACCACTGATTTTAGTCAATAACAGAATAAACTAAGAAACTCATTAATACGTTTATGAGCAAAAAACAGAGTGCAGTGTTTTAAAAATGTAATAATAAATATACACAAACCCCAGGAAAGTCTGTGAGCTGAACAAAGCAAGAAACAATGTCTGCAGGTTTCTGAAGTATCCGAGTGTAAATGACCATGATGTTGGAAAACTCCGCAGCAAATCCAAGTTGAGCAGTGACGCCACATTCAAAATGCAGGTAACGGCTTTTAGGTAGGTCTGTGACAACGTAGACAAAACATAAAAGTTAACAAACTCTAATTTTATGATAATATTAAAATAATCTGCATGTCCCAATATATTTTAACATTACACATACAGTACCATGAGCCACTGCCCACTGCAAGTTGCGAGCTGAAGAAGATACCGAGCATTCAGAGGATTTTATCCGGTCAGTGAGGGACCGGCGCTCAGACAGGTTACTCCGCAGCTCCAGAGCCTGTCTGCCCCGTGTGATTGCACACCGGCCCATGTCTGGTAAGAGAAGAAAAAATGTGATTAACAATGTGGATTTAATACAGCGGCTAGAAATTCCTGCATAAAAAAGACCAATAACGAGTTACATGTTAACACTTAAATATGTGTTTTCTTTTGTTGTAAACCGTTGTACCAAATAACTACCCATGGACTGTCTTTAAAAAAAACACCCCAAAAAAAACAGGTGCTATATAACTGTGCAACATTTCCTGTTTAAATTCTGTGAAATAGCTCCAACACTATTATTTATCTATCCTGTTTACATTTATCACTTCATACTGTTTATATTTATATTTTATTTATCTTATAGTTTATCTCAACACACTTCTGAACTGTGTACTCTGTTTTTATATTTAGTATATATAGTTCATATGTAGCACAATTTTTGTTTTGCACCACCTATATATACAAATGCATATGTATATAGACATACCACAAGTAATTACAATGGCCTACAAGCTGTGTAGTTTGTACTGTGTACTTCGGTTGCCAAGCAATGACATTTGGTTGCCAGACTCACTGTTTTTTTTTTTGTGTTTCTGTGCAATGACAATAAATAAAGTCTAAGTCATTAAACCAAAGCCTCATATCTTTATGTTGTGTTGTTGTTGTGTTGTGCTCTACATACCTTCAGCCACTCGGTCTAACATGACTGTGACCTTCTCATCTTCACAAACTCTCTTCTTAAGGAAGTTGATGAAGATCCCATTGGACTCGTCTTCCCTCTTTACCTCATATGCTTCTGCATCCACACATCTAAACACAGGTATATAAACTTCACTCTTGACTATGTCACACAAACATTAATTTAAACCTGATCTACAAAGAAAACTTAACTTACGTGGCATAACCAAATACTATATTTGCTGTGACCTTCAGCAGTGCAGGTTCTACAATGACATGATCGTTTGGGTTTCTATAAATGGAAACATTTTCATGTATTAATATCAACAGTGCATATTCTACTGGATGTAACTACACTAGTTGAAATGCTCATGAACTAAATCAGAATAAAGGCGGATACCTTTTGCGACACATATCCAACAGGAACACGTTGAGTCCAGTTTCTTTTTCCTGCATCTTGGTGAGTATATTCTGTACACACAGGCAGTGCTTTGAGGTGAATGAGGCCGGTGCGTCGATGGGAACCATGAAACTGTTACCGTAGTTTTCATAACCATGGCCAGCAAAGTAAAGCAATCCTGCAATAAGAAAGACAAAAACACACTTAAAAAAGGGAGAACTAAAATGTATCACTATGTTTTAGCTAATCTTTTTTCTCATGGTAAAATATCATGGAAAAATTGCAACTTGATGTACATTCAACACCTTAAGCATTTCTTTAATTTCTTTAAATTAATAAATAGAACAAACAAACCATAGACTCCTTTGTCGAGCAACAAGAGGAACTCTGTGACAGCGCTGTGCATCTCCTGACAGTTAAGGTCAAGTAGGGAAACCACCTTGAAGTCCATTTGTCTGAGAAGGTTGGTCAACTCATGGACATCAGCGATTGGCGCACAGAGCTGGGTCATGTTAAGGTAGTTCATGTTTCCGATCAACAGAGCGACTTTGTCTGTTGCTGTGGGTAATGACATAGAGGGCTGTTAACATTTCAGGGGCAGTCATAGGGCAGGGTTAAAATACACCAGGATATATCATAGCTATTATGTGTAATTAAAGTGTTATTTAGAAAGATACCTTGGTACTGCTTGGATGTAAATTTCAGTCTGGTCTCTTGTTGTAATGGATTCATTCCTGGTCCCAAGGTTGACCTGTGGGCTTTCCCTGAGCCTGGAGACATAAAACCTGGAGATATAAAAACCAGTAGTGCTCTACCAATGTAACTGCTTGGCTACAGATTAGTGTTACATGATACCCTTTGATTTGACCATGAAATGTTCTAGCAAAGTCAGAAGAACAAATATGAAACCTTACTTCCTCTTTTCATTCTTATATTTATCTCTGTATATTTAGATTTGAGTGTAAACACTAAAATAATACCTGGACCACGATCAACCTCCACCCAGTGTTCCTCAGTGACAGAAGTTGGACCTGCAATAAAATAAAAAAGGAGAAGTTATAGACTCTAAAATGATGCCATCAGTGACAAACATCGGCGCTTGTTTTCATGTTCGTTTTATATTCATTCAGTCTTTGATAACTAACACAGAAACCTCAATATGAGCTACATCTGTGTGGTGACATTATATCACTTTGTTTTTTTTTTATGAATTCTGTTTGGAGGTTTTACCAATGTTGACTGTTGCTGTGTCACTCCATGCCTCCTGATTGACACTGAACACCCTGCACTTGTACTGTCCTCTATTTTCCGTGGTCACACATGGGATCTGCAGGAAAAATGCAGATTAAAACTTTTCTCAGATGTTTAAGGTTTTAATAAGAACTTCTTCTTTAGTGTGTAGTATAATTTAGTGTATGTAGAGTATTGTTGAGTAAACATTCTTACTCTAAGTGAACTGGACTGCTGTTGTGCCAGGGGCATCATATTATGATACCATTCATACTGGACAGGATGGTTGCTCTCTGCTGTGCACTTCAGGAGCAGGAAATTGCCCTCAGACACTGTGTGGGACACAGGCTGGTGGACAATCCGGAGCCCACTCCCTGACACTGGAAACAAAGCACCGCTGCAGCCTGCGAATGACAACATTATCAAACATACATGTCAGCAAAACAGAAAAAAGGGAACCGGTAGAGGGAAGAAGAGAGGAGATGCACCTGGACTAGATTCTGCAGACTGAACCAAGCGAATATGGGCCCACTGAGAAAAGATGAAATTTTCTCCATGGCTAACCCGGCAAATGTAGTGTCCCTCATGCCCCGTAGTGAAAGGACACAGATCAAATGTTGGTGTTGTCCCAGACTCGCCTAAAATCTTAATAAAAAATAATAAAGATTCCTTTGGTTATTCAACATGGTAGTTTCTAACTAATATTTGATATCTGCTTAAATATATTATTTTTCTGAATTACAAAACATCAAAAGGAAACTGGCAAAACCTTGCACTTAAAATCAAATCTTAATTTAATTTGATATATTTTTGTAGCTCACACGTGTATCATTTATTGGACTGACCTCCTCTTTGCCTCTGAACCACTGGTAGCTGAGGTCTGGGGGACCTACAGCTCTGCAGGTCAGTATCACCCTGCCATTCACTGGAGCCATCTGAGACTGTGGCTGCTCTGTTATTGAAATCCTCTTTGCCACTGTCACCAACGGAAACAACAAGAACACAGTCACTGTGTGATGTGAAATGTTTACAGTATATGAAGATATAATAAGTTTGTCTTTATAGCTTTTGATCTCTTTTTTCTTTTCTTTTACACCTCAAGATCAATTAAGTAATGTTTCATATAGAAAAACCACAACAGGTATCTTACAGATTTGTCTGAAATAGAACTGTAATGTAAGAGGAAACTCAACATTTATTTCTACATTTATCGGACTACTTTTTTTTTTTCATACCTGAGGCCTTGAGGTACTGTACAGCTTCCTGGTGGTCTAATCTGTTAAGGCCGAGCAGCAGGACGTCAACGCAGCAAGAGCGTTCTGCCAACCATGCCAGTAGTGTGCGCCCAGGACTTCCTGTGGCAGACAGCACCTGGAGTGAGCAGCTGGTCAGCTCAGTTTCACTGCAGGAAATGAACGTTCAAAGGACAAAAAAATCTTGAGCATGGATCCCAATGTCAAGTGCTCCAGCTTTAACATGTATCTTTGAAATGAACTGCCCTTACTGCCTCACCTGTAGTGTAACTGCGGGTGATCAGACACAGCCGTAGCCAGTTGCCTCCATCCACAGGTGACGTTGTCCAACATCTTGGCCAGTCTGCTCAGTACTTCTTCACTCAGACTGCTGATGCTTATTTTACTCTCCTCCATTTTTCTGTAGATGTGCCACCAGTAAGGCTGGTGTCAAACTGAGAATATTAAACAAGCTGAATTAGTTTGGCAGATGAATCCGGCCACAGTTGTTCCCTGCATTCTGTGGTATCAGGTGGTAAACTCAGAGTACTGGGGGGTTTCCCCAACACTGGTCATACTTACAAGAAATCTGAATGTACACACACACACACCTGAATTAAAACAAAACAATAGGCTGAGGAATCTAATAAATTATATAAGTTACTCAGTTTCTCGGAGCAAAAAGGCACAAACAAACAGACTCCGTTAAATTCTGATACTTCAAAAATCACATTCATTTGAAATCAAGCTAATATTTTACCCACTGTGAGAAACTATTTCTAATCACAACAGGTATTTGTGCCTCTGAATCACCAGGGTATTTCCCCAACACACTGTTGGCAAACTGAAGGGTTTGGGATTTTCCCTGGCTTGGTTTTCTTTATTAAAATTTGGCAGAGTTACCTCTAGACAGAGTTAGCAAAATTCCAACCTGACAACAATTCAATTCATTTCACGCCATTTCATAAATGCCATCGATCCATCCATTCTTCCACCCTCTACTTAATCCTTGTTCTTTTTCTACTAGACCATCTATATCGTTTTTCTTGCATTTGCAAGTATGGATAACATTTCAGGGGGCTTATTTACAGAGGGGAATAATGGCCCAATAGGTGTCAGTATTGAACCAGTGTTGGGGTCACATTAGGGATCAAAAGACACACCATTACTAGGAAATAGGAGAATAAAGTCGTTACGTTACAAAGAGGTAGCAAATTTAACCAATATTAATTTTAGGAGACTGATGAAGTAAGTTTACATGATCTGTTTTGGGAGCCAAATGAAAGAAGAACACCCAATTGTTACCCATAAGTGTGTCAACATAAAAACCGTGGAGCACCTTGTTAAGTTTTCAGACTTCAACACTGGCTGCAAAAATTAAAATATATATATATAATTTATCTTTCGAACATTTTTTACGTAATCTTTACCGTGCTGTGGCACCACACGACGAGCAGCCGGTACTTGAAACCGTCTCAGACTACCACCAGAGTGCCTCGGTTGGACTTATTATTATTAAAACAATATTGTTACTATTTCTTTTAAAATTTCTAAACTTTTACTTCTTCAATAATACAACTATTTTCTCGTTATATTGCGACTTTAACATTTATTATTATATTTTCATACACGTGACTTTATTCACGCCATTTTTTTATTTCCTCAACGTTTCCTGCAAACTTACAACTTTATCACCACAAAAGTAAAACTTTGTTCTCGTATTTTTAATCATTTCTTTCTCTGCTAAACTTTTCGTCGTAGTATTAGATATGTGAGTCGCCACAGAACAGTGTATTCTTGTATGTTCTGCCAGTGCTCTACTCCCCTCTCCCTTTGCTATAAGATGTATTTTTAATACACAGTAGAAAGTCAGTCATCTCCAAAACGAAATGATAAATGTGTCTTGTGTAAAAGAATATGCACCAAAACACTAAACTCGTGTACCATGGCTGTATTACTTTATTTAAAGCACTTGCTGTAACAAAACGAAACTAAACTCTTAAGTTCGACGCCAGACCTCACCACACAGCTGCCAACTGCCGCTGTTTTGTTTAAAATATACTTCACAAGAAAAATTAAAGACTTACTTTTCAACAAACGGACCAGTATTAACGCAGGCAAGAGTGAAGGAGCCTCCGAAATAGAAGCAGATGTCCGGTGTTACATATACAACTCATTCTACTTCCACTCTTTTAAACAATTTGCTTTTTTTTCAGTTCCCCATTTCAAACCGGCCACTCTCGATCGTGTGTAAAAATCTCATTAATATGCAAATTTTTTTTTTTACAATGTCTAAGAGTAAAATGTCAAAATTCAATGGCACTAATAGCTAAAAGTGAATATACAATTTAAGACATAAGCTAAAAACAAAATAGCTAAAACTGAGAAACTATCAAACTACAATCTATTGCTTATGTATTCAACAAAACCTATTCTTCTAAGATTTACTGTAAGAAAAATTAAACAAAAAAGAAAACACTGTAAAACTAATGCCTTCATAATGAATCATTTTTTGTCCATTATAACAAGTGAGAGACAGATGTTGATTGCATTTGTGATCGTTTCTACTGTAAATTCCGAAAGGAAAATGAGGCACTTCTCATTTTTTATCCGAGGACATTAAAACAGGAGTTTTTACAAACATTTTATTGAACAACATGATGTGTAACATCAACTTTTTTAATAGTAATTCAGTCCATATGAGTACAAAACACAAGACTGTGATGTTGTCATTTGTAACTGTAAATGTCCATCCAATGGTGGCTTAAAACTGCTTTCCTTTACTTAATCTGTTGGAACGCCAAATGTTTTCTTTTCGCAGACGTCTCCAGTATTGCCAGCTCTCGGGCTCCAGCTCAGTTAGCTTTTTAGCTGCTCCCAGGTGTAGCTCATACAACCTACAAAAAAGTGGTCTGATTAGATTTTTGAACTTGTTGGAGTGCTTTTACTAATAAAAACAGCATTAAAAACACTAAAAATATTGATTCAAATCTGTTTTTGTTTACATTTTTGGCAAGAGAATAAGAGTTTCAGAAGAATCCAAGTGGGCGGTTTATGGCTTTACAGTAGTGTAGTGGGAAATATACCATAATATATTAAAAAATCAATATCTGGAGTTGCTTTTGCAAACATTGTTTATATATTAGGTCAAATACCCATGTTTGAGTAATGTACAGTAAGTAAAGAAGAATTCAGTAAAACCGTAAAAGTGAAGTCAAACAAGGTAAATAAGAATAAGGGTAGAAAATGTGCCCTCACCACCCAGGGTATTCTTCAGGATTTTTCAGCTTGGGGTCGTCTCCTTCCTTGTAGATGTTAACACCTACAGCATAAGTAGTGAGCCTGACAGGATCTTTACAAACCTCTGGACCTTTTAATTCCTCCTTCACCATCCCTTTACCTTTTCCCTTTATCCCTGGAAAAAAAAAAAATTAAATGTAATAGTACTAATGCTGCCTTGGCACAAAACAACTGCCTTTTCTGGTAGATACAGGAGCTACCTGTTCTACAGTACCAATAATATAATGTGCTCTTCATTACCTAAACACATAACATGGAGGAAATTCATACATGCAGTTGATGAGTATAATGATGTTTATGGTTGTGTGAATATATTTATCTATGTTGCTAAGTATCAATTAAACATACTGACGCCGAAATGTAAAGGAGTAACATTGTTTAATCTTATTGTATTTTAGAAAAATCTGTTTCAAAAATAACATGCAGCTTAAATTTGTGTAATGAGTTGTCCACTTTACTCACCGACTTTCTTCGCATATGCACGTGTCTGTATTCTGTTTAACAAGTTCATACTGCAAAACACCGATGTGTTGTTTACTGCAGTGTATTTTCCTAAAGCCAACGTTTGTGTTTGTGCAGTGTATTTTCCTAAAGCCAACGTTGTCCAAAACCTGTAACTAGACATTATGGGATTGGTTTACCAAAAATGTAACCAACCTAAGGTTTGACATTCATGACATCAAAATGTTCATAGCCTCACGGTACTTCCGCCTGCGTTCCCCGTGGCGTGTGACAAAAATAGTACTGCCCCTTGTGGACGAGAAGACTTACTGCAAGAAGATTAACGTGATTAGTTAATAAACTGTAATTTTGGTACTTTTGGTGTTCACTGATCTGCAATGCTACTTTACCAACTAAATAACTAGAGGCAGAATTCCTACATAAGGATAAACTGAGTTTATTTACTCAGAAGGAACATGCAGCTATTTAGCATCTTGGATCTGGTATTTAAATATTCCGAGTTTTATCGATTTAAATGCATTTATGGACATAACTAACTATACATAAAACTATGTAAGTACACCTTGTATGTAAATGGAGAACTGCAGATTATCTCAATTGACTCTAGATTTTACAACAAAATGTAGGGACTGTAAGTGAGATTTATTATATTCTTTATTTACTGGACTTTTTTATTGTATATAGAGATTGTCATATGTTGATAAACTATCATTTTAAAATCATTGTTTTACTTCATAAATTCGTTCCACCGAATCACTTCAGTTTTATGAAGTGATTCGGTGGAACGAATAAACAGAAATATTCTCACACTCCTTTCCTCATTTATTTATTTTGTAACATGATCAATAAAAATGCGTGTAAGGTGGACATACACGTCATCCAAAACGTCCGTCAACTCTTGCAGCACTACCGTCTTTAATGGCTCTAATTCATTTAAATTACAATGTGAAGAAAGCGAATTCTAACTGTTCGGGTGGAACCCGCTTTTAGTCCAGCAGGAGGCGGCATACTTGGAACTGTAACTGTGACGCTCTACAATACTAGAGAGTAGAAGAAAACCCACTGGCTCTGGAAAATGTCGGAGTACGCTCACGTTCAGAAAAGTTCGCTGAAATTAAAAGGTGTTGGGAACATGTCAGTTGGAAAAAAGTAAGTCGTGTCATCAATTCGCAAAGTTAATTTCTCAGAGAAAACTATACACAATTAAACTAATCACTGACTCAATAAAATTATGATGTGTTTTGGCGAGGCTAATGTTTACCATGTTGCTAACAACCGCTGTTGACTATTGCGGGGGTTATTTTCGATTTTTTAAGTATATTATTTTTATTCTTGTAATTAAATCTGTTGTCAAAATGTTTCTTTGAACTACGATCAACCAGGATTGTTGTCGGGTATCAAATGTTAATCATGACATAGACCAATTAGCAATAGCTACACCCCAAACACCCGTCGTAAAGCTGATGAACTCCTTCAATCTTTAAGAGTTATGTATCCACAAACATGGTTTATTCGGGTTTCTTTAAACTTAAAAAAATATAAAACATGAGCCTAACTAAGCAAACGGTTTACTGATAATCAGTGGTTTATGTGCTTTGCAAGCAGTCTTGCAAAGCAAGCAAAAATGTTGTTTATCTCTTTAGGCACATTAACATCCTGTGAGCTCAGTGAGAACACGTCTAATTTGTTTGAACAGGAAACGTTTATTTCAGCTGAATGTTATTTTGCATGCATTATAGAAAGAAGAAGAAGCAGGAACAGAATAAACATCGTATGGAGCAGGTGGTAACGAATCAAAAGGAGGAGGAGGTGGAAGACAAGAAACCTTATGTTGACAAAAGGACACCAGCACAAATAGCCTTCGATAAGACGCAGGAGAAGAGGGTAAGTTGTCCAACATTAAACTGACAGGGTGGCAGGTTGTAAAAGTAAAAATCATTTGGCTTTGCCTCCTATATGAATTTGGTATATTTTTTATTTTACACAGTTTTTGTTTATTTATTTATTAATTTATAATTCTGTAATCTGCTACATTGTCATATTATTAAGCTCATATAAACATCCACTGACTCTTGACTTACTGATGAATAAATTGGTAATCAACTAAGAAAATGCATTTAAAGTCTAAAATGAAAATACAAAAGCTCTTTAACCGAATGGATAGTTAATGTTTAATTTATATGATGGTAAATATAGATTACACTCGGTTTTATAACCAACAATGGTGCAGATTAACTTTGCAGCAAAATTATCTTTATGATGCAGCTAGTTAAGATCTGCACCTTACTTATTATATAATGTGGATATTGTGAGAACAGTATGTGTTGGAATGCACCATTTAGACCAGCAAAGCAAATATGCTGAAGCATTACTTAATTCACTAGAAGTATAATATATTATATTTATTTAATATATAATATATAATTTAACTAACAGTTGTTCTCTTGTATCTTTTCTTACAGCAAATGGAGAGGATTCTAAAGAAAGCTTCAAAAACACACAAACACAGAGTCGAGGTAAATATATTTACGTTCCACTTTTACTTCAGAATCTTTAGTTTGCTGCAGAACGCTAAGCTAATGCTTGTGTTTAATTTGTTACAGGATTTTAATCGTCATCTGGACACCCTGACAGAGCATTACGATATTCCAAAAGTCAGCTGGACCAAGTAGTAGAGAAGAGGGGTGTGTGTTTTGTTTTTGCTGTACAAAATGTTTGCTCATCATTTGTCTGTTGTGCTTCAATCTGTCTGGTGTGTACAACTTTTGATTTAATGACATTTGCTTATTTTACCTTTTTTCTCATTTACGCAATAAAGAAACTGAGAAAAGAGTAAGTATGTGGATTCTTTCACAAGGGTATTATTCAGGAATCCAGTACTTCAACAAATGTTACAGGAATAAAATTATACACTAGAATATTTTTTCAGAGGACATGACTTTTATTTAGAAATGTTGAACAGCACAATAAAAAACTCTCATACAGTTTGCTCAGTACTGTATTCCAGATTGGCAGTGTTGGATTACACACTGAGTGTGTATTAGGTGAAGTTGTACCACTCAAAATATAAAATGAATAATGTGTAGAAAGTGACAATTTATGCAGATGTCTGTTTAGAATATTAAGTCAAATCCCAGGTATTCACCACACAGTGTTAAAACAATGAGAATGTAAGACCTAGCAGTAAAGTTTTGGAAAAAGTAAGTTTTCAACATGAGATAAGACATGGCAACTCAAGGTTCATCACAGTAAAACCTAATCCTGACCCATTATTATTTACCAGACTTGAGAGATTAGCAAAATTTTAACATACAATTCTCATGTTTACTTTTTTCAGCTGTTACTAAAAGTAACTTGACAGCAGATGTTTACAGCCTTACACCTCAATATGCTGCTTTGTAATATAAACCAGTTTCATCTGTGGCAGATCACACGTATAGAGGCAGTGCTCAACCACTATGACAACCTGATATACTGTATGTTGGACAAATATTTTTCTCTGGTATACTTACTTATTTCATGATATCATATACTGATGTCTGGTCACCATATAATGTAAGTAAAAAAAATTCTTAGGGAATTTTTTAAATATTGTTTTCCAAAACTAAGAACTCAATGTTTGGTTAGTGTTCAAAATGATTTGTATAATAAAGAGGCAAACAAAAAGGTATAGTATGACTTCTTCATTATTATTTTAAGAGATGTTCATAATTTAGAGCAAATTTTGTGTATACAGTTTCTTTTTAACAACAGACATTGATTCTCTTCAGAATGCCGTCTCCATGTTCGATGGTGTCCATCATGTTATCATGTTCACTTTGGCCCCAGCATGTCACTGGGTTTCACCCACTGATCAAACTGCTCTTCCGTCAGGTAGCCCAGCTCCACAGCCACGGCCTTCAGAGTGGAGCCTTTCTTATGAGCCGTCTTGGCAATGGTGGCTGCTTTGTCATAGCCGATATGGGGGTTGAGTGCTGTGACCAGCATGAGGGACTCATTCATTAACTTGTTGATCCTCTCCGTGTTGGCCTCGATGCCCACCACGCAGTTGTTGGTGAAAGAAACAGTCGCATCGCCCAGGAGACGGGCAGAATTGAGCACATTTTTGATGATCATTGGTTTAAAGACATTGAGCTCAAAGTGTCCATTGCTGCCACCGATGGTGACTGCAACATGGTTTCCCATCACCTGCGCTGCAACCATTGTCATGGCTTCACACTGGGTGGGGTTCACCTTGCCAGGCATGATGCTGCTTCCTGGTTCATTCTCTGGTAAAATGAGCTCACCCAGGCCAGAGCGGGGTCCTGAGCCTAGGAAGCGGATGTCATTGGCAATCTTCATCATGCTGACAGCTACTGTGTTCAGCGCTCCACTCAGCTCCACTAGGGCATCATGGGCTGCAAGAGCTTCAAACTTGTTGGGGGCTGTCACGAAAGGCAGAGCTGTATGTTTGGACACAGTGGACGCCACTTTCTCAGCAAAACCAATACGAGTGTTGAGTCCAGTTCCTACTGCTGTGCCTCCTGCTGCAAGTTCATACACTCGGGGCATGGCGGCCTTCACCCTCTCTATACTGTACTTCACCTGCTGGACATAACCACCAAATTCCTGGCCTAGTGAGAGCGGCACAGCATCCTGCGTGTGTGTACGTCCAATCTTGATGATGTCCTTAAACTCTTCTGCCTTAGCAGCCAGAGCATCATGCAGGGTCTTGAGGGCAGGTAACAGGACCTGGTGCACTTCTGTGGCTGCGGCTATGTGCATGGCAGTGGGGAAGGTGTCATTGGAACTTTGGCTCTTGTTTACATGGTCATTAGGGTGGACAGGATCTTTGGAACCCAGTTTACCTCCCAGGATCTCGATTGCCCTGTTGCTAATTACCTCGTTGACGTTCATGTTGGTTTGGGTTCCTGATCCAGTCTGCCAGACCACCAGAGGGAAATGATCATCCAGCTTACCAGCCGAGACCTCGTCTGCAGCCTGTATGATTGCATCTGCTATGCTGGGACTAAGGCCGTAGTCCTTGTTTACCTCAGCGGCAGCCTTCTTCAGGATACCAAAGGCTTTAATGACTTGGATTGGCATCCTCTCACTCGGTCCTCCAATCTTGAAGTTCATGGTGGATCTGACAGTTTGGGCACCGTAGTACTTGTCAGCAGGGACCTTCAGCTCGCCAAAGGTATCACGCTCGATCCTGTACTCCGTGCTGGCCATTCTGGACGTGGACAGAAGAACTTTAGAGTTCAGAGTAAATCTTTGTGAAGTCAGGAGGGTGCAGTTAAACTGCTGCACGAGCCTAAGAGACCGTAACATGGCTCCGGTTTAGAGGTGAATGCAGTGGGAGGTCAACGCTTCCTTCCACATTGTAAACTGTCATTGGGTGAATAGGAAATTACCCACACTCTGACCAATAGGAGAGCAGGGAAGGTGGGACTTCTGTTCGTGTTGTCCTATCGTGTGGAAACGATCAAACCGCTCCATCCGGATCCGTTAAGTTTCTGATGATGCTATACGAACGTACATCCGCTTTGAGAGTTCGACTACCATTACATAATAAATAAAAGTTCTATCTTAAATTCTGTATTATTGTGGAGCGTTAGATGATGATGATAGACATGTCTTTGGTTTTTGACATTGAATTTTCTTTCATTTCTTCAAGATGTGCAGAAGACACAATTTAAATTGTGATTTTAAAATTAAACAGTGGTGTTAACACAAATTTTAGTCAATCTGATTGGAGGCCATGAAGGCAACGGCACACACTATATAACTCACTGCCTGTTTGTAACATTTAGCCTCATGTTATTACTAAATAAAACAAATAAAATAAAAAACAAATTGTCCCCCTTTAACCACTACTGGTATATATAATGTGTGATTTGTTTCTTTCTGAAATTCTGATATAAAACAAACACAATATATCAGATACTGCTTTGATCTTCAAAGCAGATTCATAATTGAATTGAGAAAAGTTGACATAATTTAATTTAGATCCAATTTTAATTTAAAAATATGAATAATATATCATATAGTTTATCAAGCAGTTTTTACAATGCTACACATATTGGTTGATATTCTATGCGCAACCCATAAAACACATATTATCTTAAAAAGATTTAAAATTTTAGTTGAGTTTAATCTGTTTTCACACATGGACTGATGTATTTTGTACGGACTGGTTAATTGGTCACCTCATAAGAACATATTTATGCTTTGTCCAGTGTTTTCTTTTTATTTGCCATGGTGAGTCAATATATTAAAATTAAATCATTCCTTTTTTGTTTTTAATGTTGGGACATATGCAATATTTAATAAATAGATCATAAGAAAATAACATATTACATTTATACCTAGTATATAATTACATTCAACGCCAAGTATTTAACAGAGAATTTAGAACTGTTTTAATAAATGTAATAGTGATATTATATATGTAGCATTAGTATTATTATTTTATGGAGATAAGAGCTGTATAGTGTAAACAATTGTAGTTGTGAATAAAATGTGATTGTTTTGAGGATATAATTCGTATTAAAAAATTAAAACTTTATAGTTTCGTTACGAATGTGTTTCGTAAGAAAGGAATAAAGTTTTTACTTTTTTATATTTTGGGGGGAAGACTAGATTTGAAAGATTTTCCAGCATTAACCGGAAGTACTTTATGTGATGTGTTTGTTTTCACGTCTACTGCCTCTTCTCGCGGTAACGTATGTTAGTACACTGTTAGCTTGCTGGCTAACCCCATCGTTTCCAGGTTTCGTGTCGACCTGTAAACAGAAAACTGAAAGAGACACCGAAGGACCGTGCATTTGAATTCTTTTCAAATTCTGGCTGCACAAAGGAGTGTGAAAATGCCCCACAGCTTCCAAGCCGGAGACCTGGTTTTCGCTAAAATGAAGGGATACCCCCACTGGCCAGCCAGGGTAAGTGAGCACGGCTGAGAGCAGCCAGAGGGGAGGAGGAGGGGGGCGGGTTGGCTATTGGGTACAGGACGCTAGAGAAGATTCTCCGTGGATTTGTGCTTCTATCAGACATTATACAGATAGTTTGGCTGTCGGGCAACAATACAGGCCTGTACTCTATGCAGTTGCAACAGCAACGTCGTTTGTATGAGATATTTTCGGCCTCATCTGTGTGGAGACAAGCAGCAGCGAGGCTGACGTTGTTATTTTGGAATAAAATGACGTTTCAGATAAAGCATATAATTTCCTTTATCATCTGGTGCATATGAAAACTGTGTATCTTCGCGGATACAAAATACAATACTGATCAAAGCTGAACTGGAACAACTATACTGCAACTCTTGCACATCAGAACTATATAATCGTGTCCTCTTTCTGTTGTTTGTGTGTATTTCAACTTATGTTAGCGTAAGGCATGTAAAAATGTCATTAGTAAAATAAGCTTAAAGAAGGACCACAAGTCTAAAGTGGTTTCTACAAGGATTTGACCCTCTGCAAGAGGTCACTGAGTAACAACATTTATCATTGAATATCAGTGGACCTGATGATTGTCAGAAATTCTACAAAAAAAGTCTATCAAAATTATTTATTTATTTTATTTGATTGAACGCAGATAACTGTTCGATTCAAAAGCTACAATTTGTACTTATTGTTGTGCAGAAAAAAAATATTGTATTCATTGGAAAATCTCACTTTACAATTAGTTGCCTGTTTATTTTAACCAAATGTTTCTTGTTTTTCAGATTGAAGATGTGGCTGATGGAGCAGTTAAACCTCCGCCCAATAAAATCCCTATATTTTTCTTTGGAACACATGAGACGTGAGTATATATTTGAAGAGAAATGTACTGACCCGCGTTAATTGGAAAAATTTGTGTGTAACAAATAGCTCTACAATGCTTTTTAGTTCTGGGCCACAAATGTCTGCATAGTAACAAACATAAGACAACAACTTTATGTCATGGAGGAATGAAGAAAGCAGAGCATAATGACATTTAAAACTTACTAAAAAAAATTGTCTATTACTTTTTCACCTTTTGGAGCAGTTAAAACTATTAATATGATTGTGAAAAATCATTGTAGTTCTGATATGGTATTTTGCCCCCATCGTTTGACCTGGTAAACATTATTTAATGTTAAACTGAACTGTTTCATTCTTTTCCTAGCAATAATGTCAGATTTAGTCTTAAAATGTATTATCATTCTCTCACACCGTTGATTGGTGAAAGTATATCTTTGCCGATCATGAGCATTAACTTATGAGCAATGTCTTGTGTTGTTATGACGTCTTCATATGTTTGCTGACACGACGCACCAACTGTTTGAAGAGATGGCTCCGGCAATATCTTTATACACCACTAGATGGCACAGTCTCTCTTTTAACCTCCCTTTCCTTGTGTTTGTCTTCATCCTCAGAGCTTTTCTTGCAGCTAAAGACCTGTTTCCCTACGAAAAGTACAGAGAACGCTATGGGAAGCCCAATAAAAGAAAGGGTTTCAATGAAGGTTTATGGGAGATCCAGAACAACCCACATGCCTCCTACAGTGCTCCACCTGTGGTAAGTCTAACCTTGTTAGGTTCTAAAAAGCCAACAATCTCTTCCAGTGTCTCATCTTTGTTTTAATCAGTGTAATTTAATTTTATACAAATGTGTTACTCTGGTTTTTTTCCGATGTGTATCATATTGCGTTATAATCATTCAGCTTCTGCCAGAAAATTGTCTATTTTGCAAAATCAAAATCTCATCCTTGGTGTAGGAAATCCTGATCTACTAAAACGTTACATAGCTCAATGCTTGACAAAGTTGTAATGGTAAAACAAAAACCATTTGGCAATCCTGAGGGGGTGTCTTAACAATATAAAATTTGGAACTTCAAGGTAAACTAAGAACTGTAGCGTTTTTAAACAAAGCTTATAGCAATAAATGGCACATGTGATTGTGATGGCAAATTGTAACCTTTGGTATCCTGGGAGCATACAACAGGTTGAGATGATCAAAATATTATTAGGTTTGTGGCAAATTCAGAGCAGGTGGATTGAGAAAAACTACTGAATTTTTTTTTTTATCTTAGAGGAAGAAATTCATTGCACCCTCCCACACTCACTTTTGTCGATAGAAAGCTCATTATGTTGTCATGGTAAACGTCTATATGTCTGGGGACATCATAAAAGGTAGAACAAAAACTGACATAACTAATAAAGGTCAAATCTAGCTGTCCAAGGGTTTCAATCGTTTCTCTAACATTGTTTGTTATGATGCACTCTTACATTTGTGAGATGATGCAGATAACGTGTTAATATGAATTTATTATTTGGCACTAAAATGTTTCCCCCCATACAGTTCAGTTTAAAGCTACGATCACTCTGTGTATGTGGCACAATTAGGTCATTTGGATTCAAACATGGACATTTTTAATAGGTCTGGTTTTTGTTCTGTGCAGCTCTAAATTTGGCAGTCAGTTTAATTGGCATGTTGGGCCGCCTTTCATTTTACTGTATCATGCTTCATCTGCAGCCAGCCAGCTCGTCTGACAGTGAGGGCAACAATGACAGAGGAGGAAGCGACGAGGAGGAAGATGATGAGGAGGTCGCAGTTCCTCAAAAAGCGGATTCAGGGAGCGAGGTTGACTCGGAGTCTGGGAGCGAAGACCAGGGTAGAGAAGCGGGAGGAGGAGCAGTGAAGCGCAAACAAACAGCTCCCAGGGTAGGTGTTCTGATATCGAGTTTCCTTCACAATCAACTTGTGATTATAAAACCACAAATAATGCACACAGAGGTACAAAGAACAATCAGCACCATATGTGCAGAGAAATTTTCTTCCTACTTCCGCTCTAGAAGTAGGATAATATTTTCAAATTATGTGTTTGTTTTTCTGTTCATTGCTTTGCCTTTTTTAGAAACCTCCACCTCCAAAAAAGGCTCGTGGGTCGTCCAGTGAACGAGATGAAGAGAGTGGTTCTCCGTCTGAATCAGAGCCCACACCTTCAGAATCAGACTCTGGAAAAAACAGCGACCAAGTAATAACAAACGCTCATAGCATGTTATGATTATTTTTGTACTGTTGAGAAAATAACAGAGAAATGTTATCTTTTTGGATTTTACAAGGATTTTACACCAGAGAAGAAATCTGGTGGAAGAGGTGGAAAGAAAGCCGCAGGAAGAGGGAAGAAAAAGGTAAACCATTTTCTCTCTGATCTAGAAAAACATTTTAGTGTAACTGTTTATGTAATGGTTTCCTTTGTTTTTATATAAACTAATGAGTTATATTCCATATCATTAGAAAGCATCTTCAGGCTCCGATTCAGACTCAGGATCAGGGTCAGAGAAGAAAGCCGCAGATAGTGACTCAGAAGACGACAAACCTCGACCTGCTCTGTCTGGCTCTGAATCTCAGTCCGGTTCAAAGTCTGAATCAGATTCAGATGCACCTCCTCGGAAGGGTCCACAGGCTCGCAAAAAAGGTACAACTTTTTGCTTCTTCAAAACTTTATGTGGAATGACTGGCATCTCATGAATGTCATGTGAGCTTTGTGGCTGGTGTGTTTAACAGTTATTGTTCTCCTACTACAGAGAAGCCTGCAGCCAAGCCTCGGCAACGGAAACCTAAACCTGCCCCTGCTAAACGAGCACCGTCGTCCTCCTCTGACAGTGACAGGTCAGGATGCTTTTAATACTTGTTCATATGAATCATAGGCTGTATATACGTGGCATCACAAAAAAACCCACTTTCACCACAGTGACAGTGAACCTGACCGCATCAGTGAATGGAAAAAACGAGATGAGGAACGAAGGCGAGAGCTAGAGGAACGAAGGAAAAAGGAGGAAGCAGAGGAACTCCGCCGGTTACGTGAGAAGGAGAAGGAAGAAGAGGAGAAAAAGAAAAAAGACAAAGAAAGGGGTAAAAAAGGAAGTGACAGTGACAGCAGCAGTAGTTCAGACGAGGGTGTGGATGACCATCCGTTAAAGAAGTCCAAGAAACCTCCCCCACCTCCGATCCCAGCACCTTCTGACTCTGATTCTTCACCACCAGCTGAGGTACCTGAGATGTTTCCAATTTTGAATTAAATTCCTTAATATTCAAGAAACACTTTGTGTAAAAGTGCATCAGGTAAACCATCTGGAATATTCTAATATATTTCTGATAGGAAAAGAAACCTTCCAAAAAGCCAGACAGCCACAAAAAAGCAAGGATAAAAAAAGAGAAAGAGAGAAAAGAAAGAAAGGAGAGAGAGCTGAAGGAAAAAAAAGCTAAACGGTCAGAAGAGAGGTCCAGAGCAAGGTAAGTTTACAGGGAAAATTAAAAATAGATACACAATAATCTTATTTTTAAGGATTTAAAATGTTATGAATATTTCTACTAGATCTAAGGCTGAAAAACCCAAACGGAAACCTGAGAGGCCACCGGAAAGGAAGGTGGAAAAGAAAAAGGGTCAGTTTCCCCACATTCACACAAATCCTCAGTAATAACACTGCTTAACTGTAACTTTTCGTGTCCCTGTTGCAGAACCGTCACCACAGGAAAGGCTACAGAAACTTCACACTGACATAAAGTTTGCACTCAAAGTGGACAACCCAGTGGGTTAAAGTGTTACAATTCTAACTGTGTTTTTTTTAACCCTTTTAATTGCAAGCTTAACAAATCCTCTTTTGTGGTAATTTCGTTACTTCTAGGACATTGACAAGTGTCTACAGGCCCTGGCAGAGCTTGAAGCTGTTCCAGTTACCAGTCAGATCCTCCACAAAAATGCTGAGGTTATTGCCACGTTAAAGAAGGTGAATATTACAAGCTTTTCTTAGGCTGCAATCACCTGCAGTTGCTAAAGCAGGGTAACAACACACTGATTGGAACATATTATCTGCTAGATATTCTTGTTATGTTTATGTTGTCATGTTTGAAGAATTGAAGACTTTTTGTAATTCTGTGTAACCTTTTATTTTAGAAAGGTGTCCGTAGTAACCTTAGTAATGCAGAAGAGGTTGAACTTGCCCTGGAAGGCAGTATTTTGGGAACTCGGTTTTCCACTTGACAAAGATTGCAGTCAAGAAAGGAAATTGAACAGTGCAAGTGAAAAGGTGTCGTCATTATTAAGTCGAAATTAGCTATTCGGCTGGTATTACATCAAACAGGATAACAGAATCTTAAGGTGGTAATGACTGGTATCAGAAAAAACAAAAGCAAAAGCAGTGAAAATAGATTTATAAGACGTAAACATCAGACAGAGGAGCTGAAGGAGGCAGTGTCAGGATAGAAGGAGAGCCATGCTGCAGTTAAGATTTTTTTAATTTATTTATTTTTACTTGATGCGTCTCTTTATTTATTCTTGTAAATTACTTTTAACTAAAATAAATGACCATGTTATGGTGAGAGGAAGGCCCTGTATAAGATGTAGTATCATGTGCTCATGCATAATTTATATGGACCTTTTTTCAATGGAAGGACACAGCCTTAATGTTTCCACGTGTGTTGCTAGATCATGTGTCTGAAAACTTTGTGGCGAACTTAATGCTGTATGTTGACAAAGAGAAGATTTTTTTGCTTTTAAATTAAAATTTTTATTTATCCATTATTGTTTCTTGCATGATAAGGTCTTGGTGGTTTGCAGTGTTTTAGGATGTGGCTTTTAAATATTAACCCGTTCTTTTTCAACAGATTCGGCGGTACAAGGCCAGCAATGCAGTCATGGAAAAAGCAAACGATGTCTACAACAAATTAAAACTACAATTTGTAGGGAAGGCAGAAGTAGCCACGAAACCACAAATGGACAAGAATTCAGAAGATAATGAAAAAGATACACATGACACAGGTGAAAAAGAATATGTCAGGTCTATTCTTTATCATGTTTGATATTGAGCTTTAAATTTAGTTAATTTAATTAATTCTCATTTTAATCTTTTTTTTTTCCAGACTCCATTCCAGTGAACGGGGAATCAGAGCAGAAAAAGGACAATGTGGAGTTTGAGGAAAAAGACAAATCACCATACCAGGAGGGAAATAATGGCAACAGTGCTTTAAGTCCAGACAGGTAAACATCAAGTTTGAATTTCTGTTCAGTTTTTAAAAAACGTTTGTTGTTTGTTTGCCTGAACTGCGTGAAATAAAGTGTAGGTATTCAATTAAAATGGGAAAAAAAATATTTGCCAAAATACAATACAATGAGTAAACAGGTTATATATATATATAATATATATATATATATATATATATATGTGTGTGTGTGTGTGTGTGTGCTTGAGGTGTGCAGTATAAAAATAGTTAAACTGGACAAATGGTAAATTATTGACTTTAAGTAACCAGTAAATCTGGCTGTGCACCGTCCAACATGTACCTTTCCCTATGACTGCTAGGAATCAGTTATTCACTCTGTCTTTTGTTAACTGCTGTGGAGCTTATGAAGGGCATCCTCCCTGGTTTGGGCACAGTACAAATTAACCAATAGATTGTTGAAATATATGAAAGTGGGATTGTTCTGTCCAAAATGTACAGGTCTATAGCAAATGTACTTGTGACATAAACCAAATAGACACCCCACTACATCCCACCAACTAACTGTTGTCTTTTTGAGGCGAAGTCCACGCAGTCCGGCTGAAGAACAGACACATAGCTATGACGAAGCAGACAACTCCATCCACACAGAGGCGCCTGCTGTTGAAAGCTAAAAGACCCTTAAACCGCCTGTGAAGCTTAACAAAAAGAAGGTGGTCTTTTTCATTTGGTATCTTGCAACGCTGCCCACCGTCTCCTACAGTACTTGTCACATCACTGAAGTTTGGGACATTTTGTACTATACATAACAACACCAGGTCCTGTTACTTTGTTCTGTTATTATCATAGGAAACTAAAGCTTTTTAGTGTGATAGTCTGAGGCGTGGTGTGAATCCCTTATGTTTCTGAAAATGTACATTTCCTTTTATAAAACACTTGGTCGGTCCTGGACACTCAGCCCAGACCCTGCTTATCTGACAGCTCGGTTCTTTCCAACACAGGAACACTTTGTGTTGGCTAGAAAAATGAATGATTACACTTTTAGCACTTGGAAGCTGAATGTAGACGGGAAATCAAAGATTGTTAAATTGATTGAAATTGGAGTTTTGTTTTCAATGACATTGCAAAATTTGTTTAGCCCTTCAATGTTTTTCATTTTTATAAAGCCTATAGAACATCACAAATGTCTGTGTCTGTGTCTGGGAGATTGGGAAAAGTACTACTTGTGAGTCTTTTATGTTTGTATTTTAATGATGATGTTTTTTTAATATACCAGACTGTAAAAGTGATATTGACCATCAATCCATGGACAGAGATTCAACTGCTTTTCAGACTGACTGATGTCCACCAACCTTTTATTGATGGGTTTTCAGACACATGTATCTATACTTTGTTGAATTCAATAGTTTGTGTGAGTTCTTCACCCTCCCCGTCTACTCACAGTGTCTGCTTTCAGTACTCTGCATAATAAAATGAATAAATGTACAGACCCAAAATTGTCCTCCTTGTAGCTGTGGCCTATTTTGAGATTTGTTGTTGTGTATACAACAGATGTTTATAGCACTCTGTAAATTAAAGCCTTTCTATCACTTAGTTAAGACTTGAATAAAAACCTCAGCATGGGACTTAATTTCATTAAAGTACTTGATGTGTAAAACCTGTTTCAATGTGCTTTACATCAGCTACCTAATGTTGCAGATGATTGTTTCTTATATGAAAAATACCTACTGCTTTCCGTACTAGTCATTCCATGGGATGTTTTTTATTTGAGAATTTAACAGCTATTAACTATTCTAAAAGTGAAGAGAAAGTGAAAAAAAAAACCCAAAACAATTATAACCTGTATGAATTATAATTCTAAATACATCCTTGCTTGGGATACTTTATTCACATTATTTTAACTTTCTATTTTTATTTTCAGTTGAATAACAACTCTTAATGTTAATCAGTCTCTTCTGTGATTTAATAATTCCCAACTTAAATATCTTTCAAATATATAGTCAGAATTCTGCAAAAACAATCCAAATTGTTTCCCTCAGTATTTTGTTGTAGAAATGGTGTTTTCTACAACAAAATACTGAGGGAAACAATTTGGATTTATTTTATTATTAAAATTTATTATTTTTATTTTTAATTCTTCATACCGCTTAGACTAATCAGAATCATGATAGTTTAAATATTAAAAATGCCAAAATTCAAACATTACAAACATTTGAACGTCTTTATCTGAACAACAAAATGAGGCTCTTTCACTTTAGGTTAAACGTCCGAGATCAAAATCACGAGATTAATATCGCATCTGTTTTTATCTTTTAGAATTCTAAGAAACAACATTTGTTTTTGTGTTGCATTATTCTTAAAGCATAGTTTAAATTTAATTGTGACAGCGTTTATATGTTGTTTTTAAAAATTATTTCTATGCGCTGTTGTGCTAATCAGAACGAGAGGGACTGGACCTTTAATTTCTCGGATTCTCATATGAGATCTCACATAATACTCTAGTCAGCTGACACCGGGCGCCATTTTGTCAGCCATTTCCTACACTCATCCATTGCCAGCGTCTCTGTACGGCACGGGACACTCCATCTGGCCTCAGCTTCATCCGCCCGGGCTTTGGCAAACAGCGGCGGACCTTGCATTCACGGTACCCGGGTGGATGAGAAACGGTGTAGCGGGTCGGTCTTCACCCACCACCAGACCTTCTGCAAGGAACTCACCCCCGCTGGACAGTAGCGGTACGAGTCACGGATAGACATGGCTCTGAAGATTGTCAAAGGGAGCATCGATCGGATGTTCGATAAAAATCTCCAGGATTTAGTACGTGGCATCAGGAATCACAAGGATGATGAGGTAAAACGACCATACAACTGTCGCTGTCTTTGGAGGGACATTCGAGAAGGTTTTTGGATAAAAGCAAACGTTGCTGTCACCGTTATCACTGTCGAGTCAGCAGCTAATGTGAAGAGCTAAGTGCTGCTGTAGGGACTGGTCAGCTAACCTTAGCCACATTAGTCATTCCCATTGCTAAAAGATCAGCTGCAGACACCATTCGTCTTTGGCAGTCACTTCAACTGACAGAATACAGATTTTAAAATTATGTCTGTCTTGCAAATAGCTGTCATATTTAGAGTATCGACGCGTTGGTAACGGTGTTGGTTCGGACTGTTTACAATGACAACTAGCTCAACAAGCAGAGAGCCAGTCAAAAAAAACTGTTTCATAGTTGACCACTAATTACTCGATTATTGTTCTGCTGCTGTCAACAAGCTGGTCGACTACTAATTTGCACGTAGCGGTAGTCCGAATGGTCAGTATGACATTTGTAAATAATTTGACTTGAGCGCGACAGAGTCACTGCACGGCAGAATGGATGAAGTCATGATCTGAGATCAGAATGGATGAGACAATGTCAGGGCTCTATTCACCGGTTTTATTTTTTCTGGAGGTTAAGTTCTCGATGATGTGTTTATCGTTGGCTCAGTAAATGTATAAACTGGATAGGTATGGAACACAAAATCCAAGCCATTTGATGCAGCGCCTAATGCCACCAAAGAAAGCCAGAACATGTTTGAGAACGCAACAAAGGCAGTCTGCCATCACTGGTAGTTCTTAATTAGTTGTTGATTAATTGTAGTGGTTAGTGCTCTTGCCTTATGCAAGAAGAACGTGGTCTTTCTCTATGGAGTTTGCATGTTCTTTCCATGTGTGCATTTGCTTTCACTAGATTCCCCAGAGCCCCCTCACAGTCCAACAAAATTCACTATTAGTTTGACTGGTTGACTTCGGTTAACCCTGCCCAGGCATGATGACTGCTGGGAATGACTCCCTGCAATTCTGACGTAACCACGTTGAAAATTCTTACTAAACCAGACTATTTGCGACTATGTTTTCTCAATTTTTTGATGTATCGAATTAAGAGGCAACTTTGGCTCTAAGCTGACTTTCCAAATAAGTCAGACGTCTGCAACTTGTTTTGAATGGACCAGTAAAAACTCCAGCCTCCTGCCACAGCTGTCTGCTGCGTTGTGCTCTACAGATAACGATCAATAGACAATATTACTTTGTATTTTCCATGTGATGTGAAAAGGACTTTTATTTATCTTATTTATTTATCATTTTCTTATTTATTTTATTTTATTTTATTTCTTTAATTAATTTTCAACATAATATTTTGTAAAAAATTATAAAAAAAATGTCTTTCTTAAATGTGACCCAGGGAATATATGAATGAATTCATAGACTATTTTAATAAGAAAATTGGCAGATGTAGACTACACTTTTTGGTGATTTTCTTTTTCTTTAATTGTAAACTGCTGCAAGAGAGAAATGGATAATTGTGTTACTTTTGCATCATATTTAGTACATATTACATATAAGCTACACAATCCTTAGAACCATTAAGGATTAATGCCATCTAAGCAACACCATAGCCCAAAGAAACCTCTTAATGTTGGTCCTGATGAGTCTGATGTATGAACACAACCAACCAGAAGACCTGTCAATAACATTTGCAACTATTTTATTTTACTAATAGGTTAGTCGAAGTTACAGACATTAGGCTGATCAATTAGTGCTTACCTATCCTGAATTATTTATTGATATTTTCCCATTCCCCTAATTCTTAGGATGAAAAAAAATTATGTAAGGTGCTGCAGAGAGCTGCATAGCTGATAAACCCGGAATAAACTGTAGGTCAGGTGTAGATGCAGACATATTTTTCTAGTCTGAAGTCAGCTTTTCACAAGGCAGTACATCCAAGGTTTTTATTATTTCGCCAAGGATGCAATTTATATGCAAGGGATTATTCCACTGAAAGAATTGGTTTGTTTGATTACATCTCCATCTTTCTTCATGATTTTGAAATAGGAACACACAGGTGGTTTTTATAAGCGCTTGATGTCTTGATTCAGCACTGTTCACCGTCGGTAACCCAACCTTGGTTACCTAGATAAGGTGGCAGTTGCCCTGTCAACACTAGCCAGTTTGCTGAAATATTAATATACTTTCTGTGTGCCTGTCCCTGTGCTCGTACATGTGCACTGCAGTCACACCTGAATGTCTGTTGACATTTTTCCTGACCTGCCCAGTGTTTCGCATACACACTCTTTGGTTTTCATGTTTGTGTGCCGAGTCTCCACACAGTTGATTCATTCATTTCCCTTCCCACATCTTCATAAGAGCAGACATATTGAAAAAAAATGTGTAAAGTGAGTGCTTCTCCTTGTGCAAGTATTTCTTCCAGGATATTAGTAGGAAGTTTTGTCCTGCTTGTAATTGTCAGTTAATAATGCTCGCGTTGGTTCCAGCTGACACACAGTCATCTTTCACTGGGAATAACACAAGCTCCCTGTTGTAGCTTTAGCTCAGCTCGCAGCACTGCTCGAAAGGTTGTCTGTGTTGTGGCTTTGGTAACAATTTCAGTTATTTAAATAGCCCCTGAATTAGTCATTGAAAAAGAGTGAGGTAGATCACGTGACGGTGCATTCAATCCACCCCTCTGTTTGCCTATCTGACGGTTTCTTAGGGGGAAGCAGCAGCAGCAGAATTCTGCCCCCATCACTGTTCATCTCATGACCACACACACATGACCAGCACGCCCAGTCAGGCAGTGCATATCTGTGTGCTCGGCAGTCATCAACTGATTGTTATATTCCTGGGTTGAACTGTTAAAAGAACTGTTTTAATACTAGAAAATGTTTAGGGTCAATACCTGTGAGAGGATTACAATTACAAACCATTATTAACAGTTTCAACTGTTTTTCTTTCTCTATGTCTCAGTGTAGTTTATATGATGCATTCAATTCTTATAATCAGATGTGTATGCGTTTACCTGCATCATCCATGCAGGTAGTTGGGGAAAAACATATTAGAGCAACAAATAAATAACAATTTTAATTTTACTTTTTTATTTATCTTTTCCTCCTGTACTGCATATAATCATAACACATTACACAACAGTACCAGAGTTTTATCTTATTTTAAACACAAGAATAAAACAATAATTAATTAATTATAAATAATTTTTGATTTTTTTTCTGAATTTTTTCTTACATCACCCATTATGTCCTATGCGGATGTGTCCCCGGCAGCAAACACCAAGTTGCCAATAAACCCATTTCTATTTAGTCCTTAGAGTAAACATAAAATAAATGGGCAGGATTTCTTCATAAGAAGAAAATTTTTTAAAAAAAGGACTGTTTCCTGCTCTTTTCTCACAAAGGCCTGTGAACTTAAGATGTTTACCTACACTCTACTGTTGCATCCCATGCAGGGCCACAAGGAAATACTTTTCAAATCTCAGTAATACAGTGACTGGAGGTAACAGGTGCACCCGCATTGAATATTAGACTTGATGCCAAAAATGCAAATCATTAATGGAGATTTTCAATGATAAAATGTGAAGATCATGACAAAAATAAAGAGCTATCTGGTAACCCCTATTATGTAGCTGCTCAGTTGCAGCTGTGCTGTCTGGGTATCACTCGGCCTAATCTGATTTGGTGTCTGTTGTTTTTCTCTCTTGTTTCCCCTCAGGCCAAGTACATCTCCACATGCATTGATGAGATCAAGCAGGAGCTCAAGCAGGACAACATCGCTGTCAAAGCCAATGCTGTGTGCAAGCTCACCTACGTAAGAAGTCTTCACCGCTGCTTCTTTGTCTTTATGTACAATGAGCTTCACAGTACACAACAGCGATGCCCTTTATTTCTCTTTCATGATGGGTTTTTGTTTCCAGCAGTAGGGAAAAAAAATCACAGTGAATAAAGAACTTTAGGTGGAGATAGTACCTGCCTTTCTAAAATTAGCCTGTGTACACACAAGGGCTTCTAAAAAGAGTACGTTTACCCCTTTTGATGTTTTCTTGTTCTCGTATATGTAGTTTATTGCAATACACGATTAAGAGTGGCCACATCCAATGATGTAAAAATGACTCTTCCTGTGTACTCACTAACTCACTAGTCATCATTAGTGCTGAAATAGAACACATTTTAGAATTAGCTAAGTATTGGCTAAGAAAATAACAAAAAGGAAGTTGCCTGAAGTCTGTCAGGACAGTAGCTCAGAGCTAGTTACAATATTCAGTAAAATAACACTGTAAGTCATACAAAATGTTGCTCCTTAACCCCCCCAAATGGCCCTAAATGGCATTGGTAGGGACTTTAGACATGCCTTTGGTCATAGTCTGTTAATTATCCGTTAACGCACCTTATTGAACATTACTTCACTCTATGGTGACCGTCAAAAATGAACTTAATTTATCTTTGTATATTCCATTCTCAGGTTGAACAGTGTCATGCAGTGTCTGAGCTCAAAGGCTTCCTGTCAATATTTGTCCTTTTTGGAGCCAAAGATTAGTTGCTAAGAGTAACAGGATTCTGTGACAGGTTTTATTTATAGCTCCTGCCTGCATTAAGCATAACTGCACAGAGACAGCTTTTAACCCACCACTCTTCTTTTTTTTCCTCCCCACAGCTTCAGATGCTGGGCTATGATGTCAGCTGGGCTGCTTTCAACATTGTTGAAGTCATGAGCTCCTCCAAGTTTACATACAAAGTACGAGCGTCAAAAAAAAATCTTTATACTCGGAAGTGCAGCAGTCTAATGTATTTATCTTTGTTTGCTGTCTTTCCTGCAGAGGATTGGTTATCTGGCTGCTTCACAGTGTTTCCATGAGAGCACTGATGTCATCATGTTGACTACCAATCAAATACGAAAGGTCAGCTGTTCTCTGGTCAAGGAAATTATTTAAAACCTTTTGGCTGTTGTTTATTTTATAGTTTTACAGATTGTAATTTTGTTGTTTGTTTGTATTTCGTAGGATCTCAGCAGCCCGAACCAGTACGACACAGGTGTTGCCCTCACTGGTCTCTCCTGTTTTGTGACCCCTGACCTTGCCCGGGACTTGGCCAATGACATTATGACACTGGTGAGTCACAGTGTGGTGGTTGTAAAGACTAATTTAACCATAAAGCCTAACTTCAGTACAATGCGTCTCAGCTCCAGACTGAATTAACTTCCCCACGGTCTGCTGTTTCTCTCACTAGATGTCCCACACTAAACCTTACATCAGAAAGAAAGCAGTTCTGATCATGTACAAGGTCTTTCTTAAGTACCCGGAATCCCTGCGTCCAGCTTTTCCCAGGCTGAAGGAGAAACTAGAGGATCCAGATCCAGGTATTTGGAAACATACCATAATATTAATTTACAATTTCAACTATTCCTGACTTTTCTCTGCTGCTAAAATTCCCAAAGCAACGACATAATATCAACCATTTATTTAGTTGAAACATTGAAACTCCTGGTGAGGCTGTCATTCTCTGTTACCTGAACACTATAAATTTTTCAGCAGCCAAGAATAGGACATTAAGGAAGGTTCATTTGTGATTCTGTCAGGGCTGCCTGAGCAAATACAGCAGTTAAACAGATAAAAAAATGTTTAACGGTACAATTGGTTGGATCTTTAAACAGTGTTAGCCTGTAGTCTCTGAATTTTTATTTTAATTCTTGTTTGTTACAAACTGTGCATTTGTCTCCAGGTGTCCAGTCAGCAGCAGTGAATGTCATCTGTGAGCTGGCTCGCAGAAATCCCAAGAACTACCTGTCCCTGGCCCCACTCTTCTTCAAACTCATGACTTCTTCTACAAACAACTGGGTTCTTATAAAGATTATCAAGCTGGTGAGTCAACATGGACACAGGAGGGTCACAACTGCTTTTCAAAAAGTACAAAATCCCAATGTTTTTCAACAATGGGGTCGCAACCCCAAGTGGGGATGCCTGGAATTCTGTGGGGGTCGCCTGAAACGTCTTTTTTCATTTGACTGAAAAAAAAGTCTCTGGGGTCGGCAGAAATCTGTGACGTCAAAATAAGGTTACAGGCCAAAAAAAGGTTAAAAACCACAGTTTGCGGACAAACTCAGAGGCCTGTTTTTATCTACGAGCAGTGACTGCTTCCTTCCAAGTTCAGGAGTAAGTTTTGATGAATACATTCATGAAATGACAGGTTGGAAGGCAGGTGACACCTATTTTACAAAGTCATAAAATGAAACTGAATCTAACTGGGTTCATAAAAAATGTTTTTGTACAGTTTGGTGCACTTACTCCGCTGGAGCCACGGTTAGGAAAGAAGCTGATTGAACCTCTGACAAATCTAATCCACAGGTGAGGTGGAATCTGTCTCCAACTACAGATGAACACATGGTAATAAATATCTGCACTCATGTTTATTTCTGCTGTCCTCCTGTCTCACAGTACCTCTGCCATGTCTCTGCTCTATGAGTGTGTCAACACTGTGATTGCAGGTCAGTACTGTTTGTTCTGTCAGCTGTGGTAAAGCAGGTAAACTTTTACAGGGAGATGATTTTGTTGACTATCACCTTCCAGTGTAATATTGCAGTATTTTCTCCTAAGCAAAAGTATTTGTTTGACTTATTACAATAATTTGAGAATCAGTCTTGTACAATGTGTATTTAACTGGGTACTTCTGGAAACTCTACACATACAAATATCAATCTTTAACCTGAAATATTCCGCATACACTCAGATGTCTTTTTTGTCTCTGCTTGACAGTGTTGATTTCATTGTCCTCGGGGATGCCCAACCACAGTGCTAGTATCCAGGTGAACCACTCAAATCTCTGCTCTTCTCATGATATGATTTTAGCATTTTGTATCAATAATACATAACTGACAGTTTTTAATTACCATTATTAATTCATTAATTATTACACATAATTAACACATTGGATTTTTGCTTATTTATTTTGTTATAATTTTGCTATTGTCAAGTGTGGAAAGGTTCATGGATGGTAACGTCTCTCCACCTCTCTCCCTCTCTTGCAGCTCTGTGTGCAGAAGCTGCGAATCCTGATTGAAGACTCGGACCAGAACTGTGAGCCCTCTGTCAATGCCTGCAGTGTGTCATTTTCTCATTGTCTGCGTGTTTCATACTGTGGAGTCCATCCTACTAGATGACCATTACATAGCCGTCCTGACTCAGGATAACTCGAACATTTTCTCCTTCCTGCCGTTCCTCTGTTGGCTAAATTTGACAGAGAATGCAGAAAAAAAACGCAGCTATCTTTACAGTCACATTGTCACTTTTATCGAAGGCATCATTGGGATTAAAATATATTTTCTTGCCCTTCAAAGTATAATCTGGTAATGATGTGTTTTAATATTCGGGTTACCTGAGTCCTTTAAACATAGATAGTTGTGTGTGTTGAGTAGACTTTTAGTTAGCTGGGGCTAATTTTGCTACAAAACAATTGTGATAAAATAGTATCGTGAAAAAATCACAATCATCATCCCTAGTATACAATACAAAGACAGGAATATATCTATGATTAATTCATTGCGTTAAAGTTATCACTGAATGTTGGCCAAAAACATCCATTCTTCGTCTATTTAATGTTGTGCACATCCATTTAATGTGTGGGCATCCCAAAAGTCAATACTTGAATAAACAAAATATCCTTCCAGTCTTTCAAACATTTGCTCCCTTCAGCAACTCAACCATGTCAGTGATCCAAACTTTTTTTTTTATTTTCACAACATTAAGCTGCTTAGTTGCTTGTGTCAGATTTCTTTTTGAAAGCAGACATACTGTAGTTTCAGGGGCAGTTTGAGGATTAAGTTCCAGGTTATTTCTGCAGTACTCACTGCAGTGACAACAAGGTCAGACATGTGCCTATTGATCCAGGAAACTTGGAGACATTTATCTCTGCTTAGTCAGACAAGAAACAGATTGCGGTGACTCAACAGTTTAATATATTTAATAACTTAAATATCACTGTGGCAAAAAGGGGAAATGAAGAAAAAGCTGCTGCCTCTCCGTCTCTTTATATCTTGTATTGATTTATCTGTACCTGATGTGATTGTTTGTCAGTGACAGAAAGAAAGAGCAACATAGGTCTTTTTCAGTGAACGAAGGATTGTTATACATAAGAAAAAGCTCAATCTTGTGTTCGTCTTAAATACAATTTAAAGTTTGAATACATGTACTGCTGACAAATGTGGCTTTAAATTATTAATTTGTAAATAAGAAAGATCCAGTACATCAAACTGCGGTTCAGTATGTGTTGTGTGTTTGTATGTCTTTTCCATTGGCCTCACCCCTTAATCTGTTTGTCTTCTGTTTCCTTGTATATTACATTAGTTTTGCTTAGTTTTGGCTCACTTAAGAAAATCAAAGCTCCTAGTATTAGAGAGCTTTAGCGTATCTAATGTTAGTTTTGTTGATTTCAGGTTCTGCAGGTGTAATTAGTAACGTGTGTTTTTGTAGTGAAGTACCTGGGCCTGCTGGCCATGTCTAAGATCCTGAAGACACATCCCAAATCAGTTCAGTCTCATAAGGACCTCATCCTCCAGTGTCTGGATGACAAGGATGAGTCCATTCGTCTCCGGGCTCTCGACCTGCTCTATGGAATGGTAAAGAACCCAGTTTCAAATCCTTCCATTACTTTCATATGTTTTTGTTCTTCAAGCCCATCAACAAAGAAACACATTAGAAAACACATTTGCTAAAGTTACATAAAAACCCAAGGAAGGCCCATTATTTACCCAGTGTCTGATTTCACCAGGTATCTAAAAAGAACTTGATGGAGATTGTGAAGAAACTGATGCTTCATGTGGACAAGGCTGAGGGAACCACCTACAGAGATGAACTTCTCACCAAGATCATTGACATATGTAGCCAGAGCAACTATCAATACATCACCAACTTTGAATGGTCAGTGCTTGACACTTGTTTAAGGGTTCTGACCAGGAAAACCAGTCAACCTGCTAGAAATGGTCAAGAAAAAATGTCATACTGCCAGGGTGTTTGCTTTTTTTTTACCCATGCATCAGCCTGTGAAGTTACTGCAATACAATGATAGCAATGACTTTTTTCATTACAAATATTTGTGTGGTGTTTTTGTGCCCCTCTTTCACACAATCCATTCTACTTCATAGGTACATCAGTATTTTGGTGGAGCTGACCCGGTTAGAGGGCACACGGCACGGTCACCTCATCGCTTCTCAGATGCTGGACGTTGCCATCCGAGTTAAAGCTATCCGGGTGTTTGCCGTAGCTCAAATGGCCACTCTCCTGGACAACGCCCACCTGCTGACTGGGAACATGCAGCGAAATGGCATCTGCGAAGTCTTGTATGCTGCGGCCTGGATCTGCGGCGAGTTCTCAGAGTATGTTGTTTAAAAGTGTTACAAAAATCCACTGTCTGTTTTAGGTGATTTGTGCATTAACTTTGTAAAATCTAATGGGTATGAAGTGACAGTTCCTTTTCCCCAGAGAACAGCATCAATGAATTTACAGAAAAATGTCAGCTTAGCAGGATTCCATATGGGGCCCCGGAACATTTGTTGTTACACAAATTAATTGTCAAGTCGAAACATTCTTCGGTTACAGGACAATAACTCAAAATGACAACAAGTCTGCCCATCCTCTTATCATTTTTTAGGCACCTGGAGAACCCAATGCAGACACTGGAGGCCATGCTCAGGCCTAAAGTAGCCACACTACCAGGCCACATTCAGGCAGTGTATGTGCAGAATGCTGCTAAACTGTTTGCTACAGTGTTGAAGAGCCAGGAGGGAAACACAGACGGCACTGTCACACAAGACACCAGCCAGCTGATGATCGAGAGGCTGCCGGTCTTTGTCCAGAGTGCCAACCTGGAGGTGCAAGAGAGGGTAAAAACCACATTTGTTTCCCACTTAAGGAATAACAAATACCTCGACCTACACCTTTTAAATCTAATGGCCTGTTGTGTCGTGTCATCACGTCTCCAGGCATCGTGCATCCTGCAGCTTGTCAAGTACATTCAGAAACTGCAGCAGAAGGATGTGGAAGTAGCAGAGGAAGTGAGTGCATTATTCGCTGGAGAACTCAATCCTGTTGCTCCCAAGGCACAGAAAAAAGTGCCCGTTCCTGAAGGGTATGTTAGCTGCTATTTTGTAAGGATTTGTTTATGTTTGGCTTCTGTGGAAGAGTAACTAAGGTTTTCTGTGCAGCCTGGACCTGGACACCTGGATCAATGAGCCTCCCTCTGAGAGCGAGTCTGAAGATGAGCAGCCAAAGGCCATTTTTACCAAGGAGGAGCCGAAACACTCACGGGCTCGACACACAGAGGTGGATGAGAAGGAGCTGGCAAGGGTGAGATGCTCGAAGACTGTGGCTGCCTTCACTGCTATAGTTCAGTACCTTAATATCTTTTTAATATCATCCATCCATCCATCCATCCATTTTCATCCGCTTATCCGTTACCGGGTCGCGGGGGCAGCAGTTGCCACCCAAATCACACTGCACCGTACCAACACCCCCAAACCTTCCTGCGGGTGGTGAGTCCACTGGAAGGTACCAACCGCCCTAACCAGGATTCGAACTTGCCCAGGAGGTGAACCCTGGGGTTCCACACCAATGACAGAGACATTGCCTCTGGGCCAAAGCGCCACCTCTTTTAAATACATTTCAATTAATGGATGCAGCTTTGATCATTTTAAATTCCCATATAGATCAAAACAAACGTTTTATTTAGATTTAGTTTGAGAATGTCTGTCTAGTCTTGATGGATTTTTTTTTTGTTTCTCGAAAGAGTTGTGACCTTGAGGGTGAGAGGATAGATGGAATGGGTCTGGATTATACAGTATAATTTTTGCTCAGTCTTGTAGAAAGACTGGATGAAGGCATCAGCTGGGTTGATATTTAATTACTACAAAGTCTAAAGAGGAAAGGTCAAGTGTATTCAATTATTAGCCACAATGCTCTGCTCTACAACATAGTCTTTGTTTTCTTGTATTGTTTCTTGTAAATGTTTTAACATCAATGTGAAATGTGACCAAAGCCCTTAAGTAAATGAATGCAAGTGATGTAATTAATGTTATTTTCACCCAATGTTTCACACAGAGAAGAGAAGCCAGAAAGCAAGAACAAGCCAACAACCCCTTCTACATTAAGTCTTCACCATCATCTCAGAAGGTGTGTTCATCAGAGTGGACTTGTCACATCATTTGTCATCCTGTCTATATTAACAGTTATAATATAATATAATAATAAATACTGGTTGTTTGTTACATTTTGTTCTGTCCATCAGTCAGCATTTGGTGGCTCAGCGGACAGTTTGGTTTGTGAATCAACCAAAATGTTTGAAGACTGTGTGGTTTTCACCCCACCATTCTTAACTAAATTATTTCTTTTTACAACTGTTTTTGTATCTATCTCAGTAAGGTGTGATCCAACCTCCTGAACTGATACCTGTTTTTGAGTAAAGATTTGTTTCTTGTCTGGTTCTATCTTCTTATCTGGTTTTGACATGGTTTTTTTAAACACTTCACTGCATGAGTAAATAAAAAGCAGGGAGCACACCTAATGTGTGTGAAAAAAGTCAATTTTGATTGGTCTTTGTTTTACAGGTTTACCAGGAAACTCCTGGAGTAGATCACATCCCAGTCATTCAGATTGACCTCACTGTGCCTCTAAAAGTCCCAGGTGCGATAAGTCACTGATGTTGCATTTCTGTCACTTTAAATATGTGGTAATTCTAAACTTCTCTTTGTTACACTCAGAGACAGACTGTAATTCAGATGCAGATTCCCAAATGATTCCAAACCTTTTTAGTTACCTTTTTCCATGCTCACTGTCCTGAAATTTCAGGTCTGCCCATGTCTGACCAGTATGTCAAGCTGGAGGAGGAGCGTCGGCAGAAGGAGAGAGCAGAGAAGAAAAAGAAAGATAAGAAGAAGAGGAAAGAGAAGCGCAGCGGACGAGGAAAGAAACATGATTCCGGCCCGGAGAGTGAAGAGGACATCACTCCTGCGCACATGGTCGACATAGTTACTGAGGAGATGCCAGAGGTTCGCTGGGCTGCAGATGAATAATCTTTGCAATATGTTTGGGAATACACATATACAATACAAATTTTAATTTTTTATCCTTCTTACATTTATTGTCCAGAGCACAATTGACACATTTTTTTCTTTTTATTATTACCTGCATTCATCTTCCAGACCACATACTTTGTAAGTTTAAAAAAAAACCAAAACAGAGATAATCTGTAGTCTGTGGTAATGAATCAGATTTCTTCTTGTTTTAGAATGCCTTACCCAGTGATGATGATGAGAAAGATCCCAATGACCCCCACAAAGCACTGGACATTGACCTGGACAAGTGAGTACATCCACAAGTGCAGTCACCCACAAAATGGTACTTTTTGACAAGTATTCTTTTGTGCCAAAACAATTTATCCATACTTTTATCATTTTGAAAACTGTCTGTTGAGTAACATGTCACAGTGGTTAACAGACTATCACTGTTTCCTGGCTGATGCAGGAGTGGATTGTGAATAAAACTAGTCAGTGTGTGGTAAACGACAAACTCAAAGCCAATGTGACATGGATTATGACAATGTGTACTTGTTAATACATGTGGACACAGTCACATCCAGTATACAGTATCAGCCTAGACTGAAGCTGGAGTAAATGATTGTCTTTTGTGTTTTTGCATCTGTTAATTTTCTCCACTTAAAGTAAAACTGTTTTAGTAGAGTAAAAAAGTTTTACTAGAACTCCAAACTTAAATCCCATATGTTCACATGTCAACATTCGGGCTCATATTTTAATATTTTTAGTTTCAATAACACAAGGTTGACTCATCAGCCCAACGCTCTGAGGGCATTTTTCCTAATAACGTATTTCTCACCAGCATCATTTACCACTGGTCGTATTATGAACTTGCTGGTAACAGTGCAAGTCATGTGTCCCTCCTTTCTCTCCTCTTGACTTCCTCTCATGGCATTCTGCTTTCTGCTTCCTCTCTTCTATGCTAACACACACACCCATTACTGTTCCTTTCTTTGGGCAGTTTGGAAATGTCAGGGCACAGGTGAGTACATGTCCAATCACAGGACCTGAGGTTCAAGGTGGACTTGTCTTTTTTTCTATAAATGTGTTATCCTGCTATCGTAGCTGCTTTTATTTGAGAAACTC